TTGTTTTTTACTTCAAAATAAGGTATGTGCAGTGTGCATAGGAATTTGTTCATAGTTTTTTTAAAAACTATAGTCCGGCCCGCCAACGGGTCTCAGGGACAGTGAACTGGCCCCGTTTAAAAAGTTTGAGGACCCCTGCTACGGAAGGCCCCTCTTCCTGCCAAGGGCCAGGAGGGCAAGTGGTCTCTCCACTGTCCCTGCCCCAGCACTGTGCTTGTCCTATGGTGGACACGCCCTAGCCCCCTGGGGTGGGCGCTGTGGGAAAAGGGAGCGCTCTACCACAGGATGTTTCCCTGCCAGACAGCCGAGGTTCAAGGTCAACCAAAAACCACAGGGCAGGACTTGACTTGTGCTCACCCCACGTGCAGGGCTTATCTCGGGGAGCTTGTGACTCAGAGGAAGCCAGAGAGCGAGGCCACCGCGGGAGATAAAAGGACCGCATGCATCTTGATCAATGATAAAGTACAACCCAAACTACCAAAATCTTATTTGGGCTGTAGCATAGAGGCTTTTAAGAGCCCGGCAGTCCAACAAAGCCAGGAAACCAAATCAACCAAGACAACCAGCCTTCAGCAGGGCAGACTGCACACCTGACGCGGCTCAGGCTGTGCTGATGGCTCCCAGGGGGCCGCTCCACACCACGGTGGACGTGAGATCAGACCTCACGTGGTCTGGTTCACGTGGGCATGTGGTTTTGTCTCCCGTGCAGGGAAGGCTCTGCAAGGCGTTCTGTGCAGGGAACAAGCGTTTCCCAGTTTATCACTGACGTGAAGGTTGGTGTGCGCTGGCGCATCTCCTGACACCGCTTTCGTGAGATGCCCCGGCTCTGGCATGGCCTCTGTGCCAGCCTGCCACTGTGACCCGCAGCTGTCTCCGAGGCATCTCTACGGTTACCGACAACGATCCGACTTTGCTTCCTCCTCCTCTTCTCGCCATTGGCTTCCCAGCTGGAAGCCCCACCCCCAGCATCCTGGGTCTGTGTGGGAGCCTGAGGCCAGCCTCCTGGGTGCGGAGGGACAGGGGCCCATGGCAGGTCTGACAAGCCTTTCAAGGTCAGGAACCTGCTGGGAACAGAAGTCTGACTTCTATGAGGTCTGAGTCGTCGTAGTCGGGTGCAGTGCGGCTGGGGTGTCACGGGCAGGGGCCCTTGGGTGGTCCCTGGGGACAGGCTGCAAAGACACCAGGCAGATGTCGGGAGTCGGGGGAAGAGAGGCCGTGGGGGCCCTAGCGGCCCCACCATGGTCCGCAGTTTGCCCGTGGACTCCTTGATGAGTGTTTGCCGAGGATAGACCGCCCCATCCTCAGAATTTAGAAGCTCCTTCCTCTCCCTCACGAGGCCCCACTATAGAACCAGCAAGCACCCACGGAATCTCTCCCACGACCCGGCGCCTCCCTTCCTCTGCCCCCTCTCACTTAATCTTCACAATGCCCTGAGCACTGTGGTATTAGAGCCACTTTACTGAGCCCCCCGTAGTCTTTGGGGTTCCTTTTGAGCCGTCTCCATCAATAAAAGAAGACGTTAAACAACCGTGCACCCACCTCCCCAACAGCCTTGTCCCCGCGCTTCAGCGCCTCTCCCTGGAACCGCCCGCTCCTCCCAGACCAGTTCAGACCTCGCGCTTCCTAGAAAGCCTGGCATAAGCTTGCCTCCTGCGCCTGCCCACATGCCCCGCTCCATCGGACTGGACTTGCCCTGGAGGCCCGGCTCCACAGGCAGGAGCAGTAGGTGCATGGCACCAACAGACATGTGGGTAGGCCTTGTGCAAACTGAATGGATGTTTCAACTCACACCAGAAAACAAACAAAAAGATTAACTATGCCGGCGAGGCCAAATGGCCAACATTCGCTGTACAACCAAGAGGAGTGAGGAGCGTGGGAGGGGCGGGGCCACTCGATGGAGGGAAACCCAGCAGCCAGGGCAGCGACGCTGAGCCAAGGCCACAGACAGCCTGTGTGGAGCCTGGTGAAGGGGACCCCAGCCTGCTGGGTACACCTCCACTCGGAAGACAAGGAATAGGGCCTGGGAAAGAAAATAAAGAGATGGAAAATGAGCCTCAGCACACTGCTGTGTGTGTGTGTGTGTGTGTGTGTGTGTGTGTGTGTGAGATCTCGTGTGTCCTTCCAACGACTTCCAAACATTCACATGTTTAAACACAGAACCCTCTTCCTCCTGCTCCAGTCGCCCAGCATGTCTGAACGAGCCTGTCCTGGGGCTGGGTGGGCTGTATCTGCTGTCTTTCCAAATAAAACAACCTGATTTGATTAGTATGTGTCCCCAGACGGAAATTCAAAGCCAGTCGACGTCTTCAGAGTCTGACTTCACCAAGAATCTATGAACTCGTGTCGCGGCAGGCCGGGGAAAGTTCTCTTTCTCTCTAGAAAGCACTTGCACTGGATGGCCGTTTCCTCCCAAGCAAACAAGAGGGAGGATGGTCAAGAATATAACCGTCTTCGAGACAGTTCAAATTGCTTCGATAATAAGGGTGTGTAGGCTCTAAAAATACGCCTTGAAGTCAGCTCATACGTCGGAGAAGGCTAACGGATGCCTGCTATGGACACGCCAAGGGAGGCACGTCTTGGTGTCCAGTCCGTCTGTCAGCACAGGACATAGGCCCACCTCCAAAGCCCTCCTAACCCCCTGGGCATGGCTGCTGCCCTGTCACTTGGATTTCTGCATAGAGGTCCCTCCTTCCAGCACCTTCCTGTATGAACACCTTAAAGTAGCTGCTTCTGCTCCTCCCAGTCTGTCTCCACAGCACTTTCTCCGCCTCTGACATCCCAGGGGAGTGCCCTGAGCCAACCTTCACGCTCTGCACCCGGACAGGGCCTGCCTGGGGAAAGAATGAACTCCAGGTGCTAACCTCCCAGCGGCCAGTTCTCCTCTGACCTGCCTGGGCCACCAGGAGTCCCCAGCCGCCAGTGCCGGCACGTTGTGGTGGCTCCTGGTTGTGGCAGCGTGAATGCTGACTGACTGAGCGTGCGCAGTAGAACTAACTGCGCCGCAGGGTGTTCAAGGCTGTGAGCTATTTGAAAGTCATCAGACCTGTCTTTTGAGGCGCCTTTGGGTGGGTTCACCCCCCCCCACTCCAACATTGGGCCGGGAGTCCAGCACTTAAGCCTGTGTGATATCCCAGGCCGCTCCATCACCACGTGTAAAAGACAATAGGAACTCTTCCCATGCCGGGCGACTAGGGACACAAATCCGCGACCTCCTATCCAGGGGTCCTCAAACCGCGGCCCGCCGAGGACATTTACGCGGCCCACCAGGCGTTCTTGCCCCGTTGGTTTTTACTTCAAAATAAGATAGGTGCGGTGTGCGTAGGAATTTGTTCATAGGTTTTGTTTGTTTTAACTATACTCCGGCCCTCCAATGGGTCTGACAGTGAACTGGCCCCATTTAAAAAGTTTGAGGACCCCTGCTCCTATCTGTGTCAGAAAGAGCTTTATATCAAGAAGTACTTACATATCAGGAAAACATCCCAGCCCAGTTCATCTCAAGTAAATCCGATACTAGTCCGCAAGTCCCTCTTCAGATCACACGGCCACTTGCAACGACGCAGCGTGCAGGAAGAGCACAGGTGGCTGGGTGCAGTCTTGTGGATCCAGTGGTGGGGAACACATCACTGGGCTCTGGCAGCAACCAGGTCTACCAGCAGAAAGGTGAATAGGGGGGCGGGGTTGGTTCCCAAGGCCCACCTTATGAGAAGGCCATGCCCACAAGGAGGCACCCTCAGGGCTAACTGACAGGTTGAATACCACCCCTACACTTTTATATAGTCAACTTGCCATGAGATTGTATCACTACTGTACCATGTTATCCCAAAGGTGTGGCTATTTGACATGAGGGTGCTAACAGAGGTTCCACTGGGCTAAGATCTGGCTTTTCTATTACAGATTAATCAAAAGAAGGGATGGAAAGTGGACCTGCTCTTTACCACAGAGCCCTACAACCCAGAGGTAAGCCACCCTACTTAGCGACCTATCCCATCATTGGCAATTCCTAGGAACAGGGCTTAGAAAAAGATGTGAAACTATGTCGACTGGCTTGGGTTCTATCCCGTCTTTACATTTGCTTTCAGAATTTGAAGGGCAGAGGTAGGCAGGAACCTAAGATGTAACCGCTCCAACTCCCTGCCCTTGTGCAGGGCTGCATGGGAGCCATCCGCCCCCCCCCCCCAGGCTTAGCCCCTGGGAGGCAAGTGCACAGCTCCCTTTGCCATCCCTCCCAAGCACCTCAGCGTCCTTCCAGTTAACAGCTCCCTTTGCCATCCCTCCCAAGCACCTCAGCGTCCTTCCAGGGACTCGCTCTCAAGTGCCAGCCTGGCCTTCTTCCTGTCAGCTGGTGACATTTCTGATCAGCAGGTGGTCCCATTCCAAACCTCACTACCACCCTGCCCAAGCAGGCCGCTGTTTCCAGGCTTCCTTCTCCCTGCTGTGAAGAAAAGAGTCGACAGAAAGCGTATACAGGGCAGAAATTAGAGCCAGATGGGCTTCCCTGGGCTGGGCCAAGCTGGGAGGCCGCAGCTAGAACATGGTGGGAAAGAGGCTCACCCTCACCCGCCTTCGGTGGTGGTGAGTCAGCCGCTGGGATGAGCAGGCAGCCTGGGCACTGAAGTCTCAGGGGGACAGGGGTCAGGAGGGGAAGCCTGTCTCCTCCACCCCTATGGTTCCAGAAGCACTTACCTACCCGTCTCCAGAAACAAGCTCTGACAGGGCAGCATTGGCGTGCTACCCTGAGACTTACACCCCCTCCCCACCCACCCCTTGCGTAGAACCCAAGGAAGATGCCTTTCAGTTGTCCTGTCTCAACGGCAGTGTCAGATTAAAGCCAAAGAGAAACAATGACTAGATTATTCTGACCAACACCCTCTTTGTCGTCCTGCGAGGACAGAGAGCTAACAGCCGGGCTCCGTCTCGGGGCGGAATGAAGGCAAGTGCTTTTACCCTCGGGCAACTGCTTTGAGTCTGTAGAGCGGTTTGGGGGGAAAAAAAGGGGTAAAATCGGATTCCTTCTCCTTCCCCGGAAATGGCTTCAACATGACAGGCTATTTTGCCCCACTCTGGTCTTCCTGAACACGCCCTTCCCCTTTCTTTCCCCTCCTCTGAGAGTTAGCATCTTCATGCATCACTGAGACCCCTCTCACTCAACACCACCGCCTACCGGAGCAGACGCTGTCTGCTGGAAATCCTGCTTCGGTTTTGTTCCTTTTAAGTTTGTTCTTGAAACAAGCTTACTAAGGAGATCAGACTTTGATTGCAATGTGTTTCCTTGTGGGTTTTTCTTTTTCAAAATCTATTTTTGGTGCTAGTTGTTTGAACTGGGACTCCATCAAGTTTAAACAACCGCGAAAGCCAGAAGGTCCCTGCCCCAACTGTTCCCACCAGCTACATCGTAGGACAGGCATTCTTGAACAGGCCCTGCGGAAGGGCTTGGGGGAGGAATCTCCTCAAATTAGGGTGTGGGTACATCTGTGTTGTTCTGCAAAGAGAGTCCCTGCCTTTTAGAGTTGGGAGATGGAATCTGTGACCCAAAGGGGTGAAAAGCCAGTAGGGCCACCATATCCAACCGCGCCAGGTGTCTCTAGGGCGTGACAAAAGCCAGGCTGGTCCCATAAGTCCCAGTGTATCTGCGGCTCAATGTGAATGCAAGCAAAGAGTTCCTTCAGTAGTGGGATCAGTTTCTTTGGATGACAACAGCCCCCACCGGCACAGATGGCAACCTGGCGCCGAGAGGGAACGCATGAACGGAGCCGGGGCTCTGGGGCCAGAGCGACTCGCGCTCAAGCACCGAGGCCCTGACTCCTGATGGGCTGCTACAAACTGGACTGACACAGGGGCTGCTCATGGGCTCAGGCACCGGCACAGGCGTGAGGGTGGCACAGGTCGCGCAGTGTCTCCTTCTGATGTGCGTGGGGTCACCACGGGTCAGAACCGGCTCGATGAGAGACGTGGAACAACCACGGCTCTAAATTCCAGAATCTGCATCTGTAGCCTTGGAGCAAGAAGACGTACGTATAAGCTAGTTGTCTGTCAGTCCGTCACACTGTGGTGGCTTGCATGTTGCTGGAAAGCTAGAAGCTGTGCCACCAGCAGTGCAAATACCAACAGGGCCGCCCTTGGGAGACAGGTTCTGGTAGAGAAAGATTAGGAAGAAGGACCTGAACAAGTACTTTAAAAACACGAGCCAGTAAAGACCTTATCGATGGCAATAGAACGTTGCCTGACAGGGCGCCAGAAAATGAACCCTCTGGTGGAAAAGCCCTCCAGATAAGAAAGAGTAGCAGGTCAGCAAGAAAGAGGAAGACCAAATGGTGAGATGCTGGTGTGCAGAAAACCGAGGATGACAGTAGAAGCCCAAAATACGTTTGCGGGATCGACACTGGGAACAAGCCTCCGGGGATTCCCCTCTGACCATGACTGAGGGCTGGCATCCCCTGGTGATCAGAGGATTGTAGTATCGACTGCAGTAGAGTAACGGGAGCCCTCTGTCATGAATGCTCAAATCCCTGTCATCCGCGCTCTCTCTCATCATTCTGGTTTTCTAAATATATTTTCTGGTTTTGTTTTTTCATATTGGAGTTTCTGTCTGTCCTGTTTGTCACTGTTGATAGCCTTCTTGACTCTCTGATAAGTATTTTTCTGTTTTTTTGGTATATGAAGCCCAGGACTGGCAAATGCATAGAGCAATAACTAGAATAAGGGTTCCTGGGGGTCTGGGAGGGGAGGTGGGGGGAGCTGATATCAAGCAGTAAGAAGGAAGAAAGTGTTTGGGAACTGACTGTGGTCATGACTGCACACCATGGCTTCACATGCTTGAACTCTGGAAGGAAATAATGTTCGGATTAGGTTCTAATAAATGGTTGGAAAGGGGAAAAAAAAGATGAATTGACCTAGTGGCTGCCAGCGTGGGCTGCCCCGGCACCGGGAGGATGGCGAAGGGAGGCTCCCGCATGCTTTCGTTCTTGGTACACAGGGCCACCGAGAGTCTAGCACTTAACAACAACTCGCAAGTAGCACGAAGATGTTGTTGTTATTCTTGTTAATGGGAACAAGCCGCTGCTTTGGGTTCATGTGAGCAAGTGTAAGGCCTCCCAAGCGCTGTGCTAGTCCACAGTGACAGGATGGTCCCACTGCACAGACTCCGTGAGGCTTCTTTGTCCAAGGCCGGTCTTAAACGCCCCCGCAGAAGGCCGGAGTTGGAGCAACAGCAGCGTGAAGGGCTACTGTATTCAACTCTGAGCATAGAAATCATTCTTTCTGGGAAGCGCGGGTCTCCACATCTGTCGATGCCGGGATGAGCCCACTGTGGACACCAACTCCCCTGGGGGTTGGGGCGGGGGGAGGAGCCAGCCTTGCATCATTCCAAAATCGGTCTTCTTTCAGGGACGCGAGGAACATGTGGGGAAGTGTTCGGCGCAGGTGCTTTTCAAGAACCAGAAGCCCAGGCCAGCCATTAACGTGACGTGCACACGGCTTGTTGAGAAGTCGAAGAGACAAGAAGAGGATTACCTGCTCTATCAGCACATGAAGCATCTTACAGTCCCCCGGGATGGCATCACCATACCTGGTACGATCCAGCTGTCTGGAATCTTTGGGTTCAGAAACGTATGTAATTACATCTTAGGGAGAACACTCGATGATGTGCTTAGCCTGAGAGGGGCGCTTTGACTCAACTAGAGGAGGTGGCAGGTTACTCGCATCCACCTTCTCCTTTAAACAACCCTCAGCGGGGTCGTCTTCCTGTGCTTCAGCCCGAGGGCAGTACAGCACCTCTAGCAACGGCCGTGAGCACACCTCAGTCTCCCCGTTTCTCATCCCAGAGCAAGGCGCAGCAAGAGCTGAACCCCTAAGAGGTCCAGGCCTTTGCAACAGGATTGGGGGTTGGGGGCAGCACCTAAGTGTGCAGGGTGGAGTCCAGCACCTGGGGTGAAATTCCCAAGGGGTTTGTGGTCACTTTGGAAGTGTTAGGCAATGACACAGCGTCCATCACCTCCCCAAGCAGGCTAGGAGAACCGGCTGTCTCTGGCCCTTCCTGGTATAGCATGGTGTTTTTCTCTGACGGTCAATCGCTAATGGGCACTGCTGCAGCCCCTCCTAAAACATGGCCCTGCCCTGTGAAGTGGCTCAGCCGAAGTGAAGCAGAGCTCATCTGTTCTGGCACCAAGGAGCATGTGGGCAGCCCTGAGTCTCCGCACTTACTGGAAAATGCAATTTCCCAAACCACAGAAGTCCTCTCTGGACTCGCACTTGGGTCTTGAGCCAGACATCTGACCACCGGCGCTCACCACCCGGCCTGCTCTCCCCGGGCATCGACTGGCCCCCGAGGCACAGGGTCGTGCGTTCTCCGCTCCCAAGCTCACCTGTTGCCTGCTGGGACGGGGACTCGGTGTTCTTAAAAACCCAACCGGGGAACCAGAGCTTAGTTTCTAAGATTCAGAGCCTCGGTGACCCTCACAGAACACTTCAGACAACTCGGATCCCATCTTGTTCTGAAGCCAGATGAACAACACTGCCAATTCAGAGGGTGCTGGGGAATTCACTTAGGTTCAATGCTTCCTGAATTAAATGGGCCAAGGAGTAATATTCAAAAATCTATTGTCCCTAATAAAATGATTAAAAATAATAAAAATCTGTCATCATTTAGTCTAAACATGTTAGAACTTGTTGAGGTCTTGCCTGAAGTATTTGCCATGGGCTCACTAGATTTGGGGCACATCTTTAATACCGCAGGTTGACTAGACCATATTCAGTTGAAAAGTCCCGAATGTACCCTGTGTTCATTCTAGAACCATCTAACTTATTGCTGCTACTATGAAGCGCCAAATGTTGTTTTTAATAGAAGATAACTCTAATCAGTGGAATGTGCAAGTTCTGTAGTAACTAACTTCAGCAGAGACGTTTAATGCTGTGTGTGTGTGTGTGTTTTACCTTTTCCATGTATATGAAATTCTCTGCTTAAACCAAAGGAGTTGATTTGCGACTGAGTCCAGAGCACGGCGCTGTCCTTGGAGCGGTGAGCTCAGGTCCCAGCACTTTACTCAGCACTTCCTCGGTCCCCTATCCCGGACCGTCCCAGGCCGCCTGCTCTACCAGGACCAGCGAGGGCATCCAGTCCCTTCAGGAGATCCTCATCCCACAGCTTTCGCCCTTATCCAAGTAGGGTGGTCTGCCTTTCCTTACGTGTAGAAATTCCAGTTTTTATAATGAGCTCCTGACCTTCCTGTAGATTAGAGGGTCTCAGACTTCCTAATGCCGTGACCCTTTCATACAGTTCCTCATGTTGTGGTGACCCCCCCAACCATAACATTATTTTCGTTGCTACTTCATCACTGTAATTTTGCTACTGTTATGAATTGGGCGACCCCTATGAAAGAATCGTTTGACCCCCAAAGGGGTCATAACCCACAGGTTGAGAACCCGTGCTCTAGATGGAAGGACCCAAGTGGACATCAGAAATGAACTTGGGCCTGAGAGTCCCATCCCCCAAATGATTTGACCGCAACACTGTGAGCACTCTTGCTTTCAAATGCCACCACTGTCCTCAATATTTACAGTAAACAGTGTGTCTCGATGGCAATGGGTTTTGATCTCGGAGATCTCAACCCACAGCGGCACTGGCAGATAAAACACGTGCAGATGAGGTTGACGAAGGAAGCTTTTTAACCAATGAGCAGAGGGATGATGGGGAATCTCTTAGCAGTGAAACAACGGGGCAGGGCAGGGCCCACGTGCAGATGTTCATCTCCAGGTTTTCAAGAACACTGAGTCACAGTCCCAAGACCAGCGTCGCATATTCGGAAAACCTTATGTCAGCATCTCGTGCCAGGGAGAGATGATGAATGCATTCATAACGTGCTGATCTTCTTGTCAGAAAGCAGCATTCTGAAGCATGTTTTTCTAATAACACATATAAAAATAGCCACCGCCCCTTGTTCCTTATTTGACGTACGTCAGCAGAGAAATGACTTTGTTAAAACGGCATTGTTAAAATGACAAGGCAAAGACAATGGAGGCTGAAGTCCCCCATGCTTGAGTCTGAAGGCTCTTGGATATTAACCGGAGCACATTATAGAACCCGAACTCCCAGGTGCCACCTGTCACAACAGGTGAAGACAATGCAGGGAAACTGAGGTCTCCTCTTGCCTTGTTCTGAGGAGGTGTTTTCTGTTTCGACATTTCTCCAGACTTTTTCTAATATATTTTTTTTAATCACTTCTCTGTAACGGCTGTGCTGAAATGTTCCCATTTCTTTAGACCCAGAGCACAGCCTTGTCCTTCACTGGGGGGACGACGACGTTGCCTTGCACTGTTTCCTTTCACCTCCCAGTCCCTGTACCTTCCCCAAGCCTCTCGCTTACCTAACTCGCCCTCGACTTACTCTCTGGACTCTAGTTTCTTCCATTCCGCTCCATCAGTCTCCTTCGCAGCACTGAAATCGTCAGCTCTTTATCTTGCTCTACAGTCAAGGTTCATGCTCCGTTTACTTCAGAACCACGCGCTCCCACGGCCACCAGCCCCACCCCAATCTCCTTCCTTACTCAATCTCTCTTTCAAAATTAGATTCTCCCTGTCTGCTTTCTCCCCTGATGCACGCAGTTGAAATGCTGTCTTCTGGGTCACCGGGCTTTTGGGTCTGTCTGCTCCTGATCCTTCTGTGATCAGTAGCATTTGACACCATCTGCTTCTGTGGCTTCGTGAAACAGCATTGGATCCGCTCAGGGCCAAACGCAACTTGTTTTCACCACAAAGGCGGACCCCTCTGCAGAGAAACTGCCATTTCTGCCCCAGATATGCTGCATCAGACGCCACAGGTCAACAAATCCCCAGGGGACCCAAGGGAAAAGGCGCCTTCTCAGCAGGGGGTCAGACCTGGTTCAGAGCCCTGGCTCCCACATCTTGACATTTCTTTAGTAGTACTCGCTGTGCTCCTGGAGCGTATCAATCATCACTTAGCATTTAGTAGTTTCCCATTTCCTATCAAGTCTACCTCCACCTCCTGCCCGCTCCAGCCCCCAGGGAACCCCCTTCCTGCCTGTGAGCTCTCACTGAGATACAACCTAGGTTTCCGTTTCTCCCGTCCTGCCGTTTGCTGGAGTCCCCTTCCACGCTCACTGCCGAGTGCTCCCTGGCACCGCAAACAAGGCCGGTCATAGTCTAGTGGGGAAAAATATTGTACTCTATCAAGACCAGTTACTGAGCGGAAGTGCCTGGGACCTTTCTACCCTGGAGTGCTCATCCACGTCCCCCGCTCACCCACCATGCACAGCCCAGCTGACATCTCCTCCAGGACCTTTCTACCCTGGAGTGCTCATCCACGTCCCCCCCCACCCCCACCCTCCACCATGCACAGCCCAGCTGACATCTCCTCCAGGCTTCCCCAGGACCTCTGCAACCCAAAGTAACCTCTCCCTTCCTGCGCTTCCTCGCCCTCTCGGTCCTCTTCCTTTCAAGGGACGCATCGGCTCCATTTCTACACTACAAACATGTGCAATACAGGGACCCACCTTCCTACCCCTCCCAGCACCCAAGCAAGCAATGCACGCTCTCAATTGAATACCACTACAAACAAAGCAGCCAACTCAAGTTCTGCCAACACAGAATATACGCGAAGGATTACGGCATCGATCAGGATGCATCTCCTGAATGTGCCCATTAGTATTCCTTAGTTATTTTACTATCATTGGACCATAAGATAGAGGAAGGATGAATGTCTTCTGCCAAATTGAGCAAAACGATGATTCACAAGCGGTTACTTCATAAATTAATTACTGGCTAAAATTTGAGTTCCTGAAAATCACTAAAGGTCACTTATTGGTCATTGTATCCCTACCTCCTAGCAGTGTAATACTTTGATGATAAATACATGTGGAGTTGAAAGGAGTTCGGACACAGAAACAGTGTCACAGGAAAAACCCAGATGACTGCTTTATAGCTGGGGAAAAGACACAGATGCTGCCCAAACACTGACTAGCTCTAAATGTGATGATCAGAGAAAAGCAAAGACCACGACACAAACCAGACGCTGACATGGAGATCATAGACGTTTCCATTTAACTACAGACACTTGTCAACCAGCAAGGCTGTAGGAGAGTAACTGTGCCATCCTAGCTTTTGCAAAGATTTACTTGGTGTGGCAAGTTGAAACCTGTGATTCTCCATTAATTTCAAGACCCCAGGCAATCACTGGCCAGCTCCAGGTCTTGAGAGACATCTGATGTCTCAGTGTAAGCTCTCCGTTCACTAAGAAAACTCAAACGTGCCTCAATACACGCGTGCTTGTTTTCTCCCTGTCAGACAGCCATGGACACATCGATCCCTCTCTGAGACCCGTCTGGGATCTGGCTTTTCTTGGAGGCTCTTACGTGATGTGGGAGAAGACGACCCAGTCTTTGCACTACTACATGGTACAGCTCATCGGTGTGCAACAGTGGGTAAGAAACATGGAGCGTATACTTGTACCTTTAAGGGCACAAGCTAGGCTGTGTTCTGAAGACTGCATGTGAACTCCTGATTTCACGGTGAGACGTCTTAATTGCATTTCATTCATTCAACAAATAGCTGAGTGCCTGCTATGCTCCTGGATACAGCAATGAACATCACACTGTTGTCCTGAGATGAACTCAGTAAATACCTATCCACTGGTGGCAAGTGCGATGGAGGGAGGGGCATGACATGGGGAAAGGAAATGCAGTGTCTGGTGTAGTTTCCCTCGTCATCCAATAAGGAGGCCCTGGTGGGGTAGTGGGTATACTGGCTGCTAATGACAAGGTCAGCAGTTTGAAACCACCACAAAGACCAGGCTTCTGCTCCTATAGAATTACAGGCTGGGAAACCCACAGGGGCAGTTCAACTACATCCTGTAGGGTAGTTGTGAGTCCGAAGTGACTCAACGGCAGGGAGTTTGGAGTTCTTTGGGAGCTTGAGCAGCGGTGACACTGGCGCAAAGGCCTCAAAGTCCTCAGCCGTACCTCCGACAAGGGAAGCGCCTCAAGGCGGCAGGGACTGCTTAGGATGGAGAAACAGCACTGGGGCGAGCTCTGTGGCTGGAACAGAGTGGGCAAGGAGGGGTGCCAGGAGAGGCTGGCAAGTGGGTGGCTAGAGGGGCAGGGCCACCTCATCCAAGCCGTAGTTCTAAGGCCGTACTGCGGATTGCTCCTTCTCAGAACCTTGTGTGACTAGAATGCCTAACAGTCTGTCATCACCAATTAGGGCGGTGAGGATTTGAGTAAAAGCCAAAGCGTGGGTTTCTGTCATCTGAAAAATAACAGTTGGTGGACTTCCTTGTGAGGGCAGTCGGGTCCTGAAGTACTTACTGGACCAGGCCGGGGTGTGGAAGGCCCGCTTCTGCAGGTCTACTGTGCTCTTTGCTTTGGCTTCCGGGGGCTTCTGAGAAAGATGCTTGCGGCGATGCCAGGGTGCGTTTCCATAGCATTGCACCCCGTCTTCATCAGATGGAGCAGGACTTTTAAGCACTGAGTGGAGCCAGCCGCCTGCACTGACATACCCGTGTTTGCCACTGGAAAGCTGGTCACATGGAGTCACCGTGTTTCAAGGCCTCTTTTTTTGCCTAAAATCCTTTGGGAATGTCATTCTCAGAGCAGAGCAAGAGGGCTGAGCGAACACTTTTTGATTTACACATGAAACCTTTATTATTATTATTATTATAAAGATATGTAGCATAAACAGGCCTTGAGAAATAATGCAGGGAGCACCGATGCCTGAGACAAATATCACACTCATAACACAAGCTAGCTGGGGTCAAACATGCTGGGATAACCATTTCCCTCCAGGGTCAGGAGTCACCAACTCAAATCAGGGTCAAGTAAGGCTAAAAACACTCTCAATCAGCAATGCTGGAATGGTAACTGGAACCTTCCAGAAATTGCTCTTAATGAGAGGCAGAGCCCTCCCTGGCTGGTGCACTAGGACTCCGCTCTGCTGCCAACAGGAAGGTTACCCGTTCTGATGCGCACAGTGGTGCTGAGGAACACACACCTGGCAACCTCGCATCAAGAACAGCCGCCAAAACCCCAGAGCGCAGCTCTACTCTGAAGCAGCGGGTTACCCTGGCTCAGAACAGGCTCCCTGCGCTGGGGTTTTTGGTTTGCTTTAATGAAAAAGACGTCAGATTGTCCCCTCAGGAGTTCCCTAACTCTGCAGCGTTGACTCAGATGCAACAGCCCAGTTAAGCCAGCAGGCAGGCAGGAAGCCCGCCCTGAAACGCCAGTCTCCAGAGACGGGTCTGGCTTATCCAGCGATTCCTCCACTAGCCCACCTGCTGGAAACTTCGTACCTTGTAAAAATCCCCATCCATGTAGGTAAAGGAAGACAAGACCTAACCTCTGTTGAGTGCTTTCTATTTTTTTCATGGATTTTAGGATGCCCAATAAAAATCTGGTAGGAGGCCAAAATGATAATGCAGAGATTTAACTTTTTTTCTCCTCCATTTCTTTTATTGGCAAAAACACCTGTGCTCCCCCCAAAAAGCATCAAATAGGAAATTGAGAAAAGACATTGGCTTCCTCACTAGTAAAATTTATAAAAATCAGTGGCTAAGAGAGATGGCGCAGATATTTTCCCTACCTATAAATAGAGATGCACTGGTTTGGAATCAGTGTGGGACAGCTGGAAGGACGTGGGCTGAATTCAGTCAGGAGATCTGGGTCTGAATTCCCGTTTGTCCCTGGGCTGTAGGTAACCTTCCCTGTAAAGCCAGGCCCATGATACACACTCATTCAGAGTTGAGAGCGCAAGGGTGAGGTGTCTCTACACAGAACTAGGACCATGGGAGGCATTCTAGACATGCTAGTTGCCCTTCACCTGTCCAACTGCCTGCAATAGCGAGGCTAACAGTAACCTGAAGTGTATAGACAGCATTTAGATTTCTGAAGTTGCTAAAAGATTCTCTGGGTACCCCAAAGACCTCAGCCTCCACCCACACCCACACATTTTCGAGAGAAAACTGGTGATACATCCAGCTGTACTTCTGTATAACCCAGTAAGAGAGAGGAGAGCCCATGACCTTGGATACGACGGAAGGAATTGAGGCTGGAATCGAAGGGACAGGAGGGGATTCAAGGAACCCCCCCAAAGCCAGGGTTCCTTTAGCAAAGGACGACTTCCGAGCTAATATAAACACGCCCCATTCATGACACTTTTTTTCCCTTCCTCTAGAAAACGGATGAGGATGCAATTGATTTTGATTACACTGTTCTACTCCATGAGTTCTCAACACAGGTAAAATGCAAAACTGTACGCAGAACCACTTTTATCAGAAGTTTCTGCCGAAGGTAATACTGTCTCACCTCTTCCTTTACTAGGAAATCGTCTCCTGCCGTATTCACTTGGTCTGGTACCCTGGCAAGCCCCCGAAAGTGCAGTACCGCTGTCAGGACCCCCAGGCACCAGAGGAGGCCTCTGGAACTGAAGAGGGATCTGCTGCTGCCCCGGTGCCCCTCGGCAACTTCACCAGCCTCGCCCCAGTCCTGAACTGAATTACCTACTCAACAGCCTAGCCTGTCCTTGGTGGAACACAGAGAAGGCATTGGATGTTTGATGAGTTCCGGAAAGCCTGCGATTGTACTACTCAAAACGAGAAGGCGTTTCCTTTTTTGGTCCAATTGGCTTGGCTGTTCACTGGGCTCAGGGGCACACTTGCCTCCGCTTAGAGCTCTAGGGTCATCCACCAAGTCCCTCAGTAGTTTCAGCCAGAAAATGCAAAATTAAGGCATTTGGTTGATGGCTGTAACTGGAATTTTTCAAAAAAACTTGTCTTTTAAAAAATGATTTCAAGCAAGCATTCCTTTTTAAGCTGGCATCTACTTTTAAATAAAGGTTTTCATTTCTATATGTGTTTGTAGAGGTGTGTATACACAGACAAGATTTGTGCTAAATTCTAATTATATGAAAACGTAATACTGCTTAAGTTTCACAAGTAGAAATTATGCAAAATGCCTCACCAAATAAACTTGAGTGTCTGTGAACACGTATTAAATGGAACAGAAGTGCAATTGAGAGGATATCAAATATTTACAATTTTCATTTCTAAGTACAGCACTGGACCCTGTGTTGGCCTAATTTCTAAAAGCACACACAATCTGTAGTATAACACTCAGTGAAGTGCCTAAGGCAAGAAAAATGGATTCACTCTCGAAATTAGCATGATTTACTGGAATCCTTACATGAGTTTCCTAAAAACCCTTTGCCATGGTCATTAATCAACACTTAGTTAAAAAGTGTCGGCTTTTAAGACATACCAATATTTTAGTTTTAATCTACACTGACAGAAAATGAGAAGCTTTTACTAAAGAGAGGAGTTTCCAAAATGTAAACTTTAAGGATAATGTTTCTTTTGTAGCAGATGTTGTTTTTTTCTTCTATTAAACACTCCAGTCCTTTGCATTTCTCTTCCTAAGAACACCTGCTTGATTTTTACAAGCTGCCAATTCTGAGGCAGCTAACCAGAAGCCCCAGCACTCAGAGCCTTGGCAAGCTCAGACACCTACCTGACCGTGTGTGACACTGCAAAGACGCTCCTACCAACATGCCAGAGGAGCGATCTTAAAGACTGGATCATGCCACAACTGGCGACAAGCCCTCTACTGAAGTCCCCTAAACCATCTTGTCAAAAAGCTCCGCAGAATATTTATACAATAGCGCATCCAAAATCGGAGGATCCTTTCTTTTACTGCCACTGTAAGGACCTGGGGTTTGGTTTTCTCGCATCTTGGCACCCTCCAAGTTCTCACAGACATGTTTGTAAGTGGTGAAATTGGGCTCACAAAACCAGGAGAGAAAGTCAGTCAGAAGCTTCTGTATTTGACAATTCATGATAGTTCCCCATGACACGGGTTCATGATACTAATTTCTTCTCCCCTTAGAACATCCTGTCACTTATCCTGTGACCTTTCCCAGCTTTGAAAGTGCTAGGCCCATCTGGAAGTTTGCTTGCCACTGACTGGGATGGATAAACTAAGGTTCATAGCAGCTCTTCTTTGCACAAACCATTTTAGGGGTGCACCCCAGTGTTAACATTTGAAGACGCGTGGAGCAGCCATGCAATCTAACCATCTATCGTTTCAGCAATGCAGATAGCTGACCTCTCCAAAGGAGCACACTCCCACACGTCACAGTGTCCTCCTCTTCTCTGGTGGCTGCAGAACGTCTTTTGGCATCAATTTTAAGACTCATTCGGATTTCAGAAGCATTGAAATGTGAAGAGCCTTAGAAGTTCAGGTTTGATTACATTTTATTGTTTTCACCACTACATCATCTAAGAGGAAAAGAATTATAGTTCCTAGTTCATCACCTCTGAACTAACAACCCACAAAAGCATAGGGACAGGACACACAGTTTTCACAATCGGTTTGGCCAGTACTTCAGTGTTTCTCCTTGCTGCCCACCTGGACAGCTTCAAATGCCCTAGGACATTCTGCAGCATGAGATAATCTTTAGATGAGACAATTCCAGATGTGGTAGAACTGTTTGGAAAAGCACAACCTATTCTAGGTATGAAATCTTAGCATCTGTTCATTCACAACCTCAGTAAGTGCAATACTATAGCAGACAAATTCAATTAGTTGACTACAAATTCAACTAATGTTTACCAAGTAAAAGAAATTGGGATGCAACGCTGTAAAACATATTTTATTATTTAGGGCTGCAGAAACATCAAGATGGATAGACAAGCACATCACGTGTAAGGGCCTATTTCTCACTTCACATAGAAATACAAGGCAGTTTTTTTACATTTTTAGCAGAGGCAGCTAAAAGTGAATTGCAGAAGCCACAATTTTAACCAATCAGCTATACATAAAACAAAGCTTTAACCAGTTCTCTAATATCCTAGTGAAGAATTTGAAAAATGTTATATATCTAGATCATACAGAATCCACTCTCTGACATAAAAAGGCTATCCACTAATGTGGTTTCCAGAATCTTCTGTATTTTTGGTTTGTGTTGTTTTCTTCAGTTTTTGTTGTTTGTTCGTATTAGAGCGTATCTCAGAGGTGTTATGTCAATGGAGGTCACCCACTTGAAGATGTGTAATATGCTTTTCCATTTTCCAGTGTGTGAAACCTAGGATCGATGGACCTAGAGGGGCAGCAAGTAAAATAAGGGATTCCGGGGTGGGGGTTGGGGGTCTGAGTGATGGAGGTGGGGCAAAAGGGAGATCATGTCAAGGAGTCCATGTAGAGAAGACTGTTTGGACACTGACTGTGGTAGCAATTATACATTCTACTTGACTGAAATTTGGAATGATGTATGTATTAAATCCCAACTAATAAGAAAAAAGGCTGTGCATTAAGAGTTAAAGGCCCACAAGTGTCATGATGTATGAAATTCACTTTTCAATGTTCAGCAAAGTGATTTTTAAAGTCTTAAAAATACATAGAGGCATGAGACAAAGCTAGATAGTTAATAGACAAATATATGAATCAAATCTAAGAAAACAAATTATTATGATAGGGTGAATTGTTTTTTTAAAATTGCTACTTGGTAAATCGAGATGGGAGGCATAAGGACAGTCTTTGTATTATTTACACCTTTTCTATAGGTTGAAAATTCCTATGTCTTTTTTTTTTTAGTTTATACTTTCTAAACTTAGAAGTATAACTAAAATTAGCCTCTTCCTCCCTTAAATAAATATTAAATATATCTCAGAAATCACATTTTCCACCTTTCAAGAAACTATAAAATCCACCATAGTTGAGATATTATGCAGACTTATCTCTGAATGCAACAGAAACTCCCAAATATGAGGACGGGCTTCGACAATCCCTGTTTCAGCAGCCCTCATCCGTCCCCGTGGAATTCAGCTAAGTGTCTAGCGTTGCAGATTCTAAGGAAGTTTGACAGTCTTAGTGAAGAAAGTTAGTTCTTGGCTTTTCCTTTTTTGACTGGAAGTTGACCTGTAGCTTCCAAATACTTATTAATAAGCTCTTCCTGGGTGGCTGGTACACATGGCTGATACCTGCAATACTCCATTGTATATTCTCCCTTGCCCTAGAGTTAAAAAAAAAAAAAACTTAAACTGAACAAGTTTTTTGTTGTTGCTGTTTTTTAAGTTACACTTCTCAAGCTAAATCTTGCAAAGCCTGGATTTAACATTACTTGTTTAATTTGTATGCTGAGCAACTAATCCAAGCCGTCCCATGGGCTGGTCTATTGAAAAGCAAGGTAGTAAAAAAAGTGCAGACACTCGCTCACCTCTGTGCAGGACCTGAGTTCAGTGGAATAACCAAACATATCGTTTAGAGGAACCTGAAAATAAACCCAGCAGACAGTTGAGCATCGCTTACTGAAATGTATTTGAAAAAAATAATACAGAGACACCCTAGTCATTCAATCCTTTTAGACTCCGGTTTCTAATAATTACTTACTGAGTACAGAACTAGAAGCTAAAGAAAAAAGGTATTTTCATTTTTAACCTAAACTTAAACCCTCATTTCAAAATCAATTTATTTGATAGTTACCCTGGAAACAAATCTTTCCCTCTCCCAGGCTGTCAACTGGCGTGAGGCCACTGCAACCTCCCTCCTCACCCCACCTTGCTCTCTGGTTTGGGCGCATTGCTTCTAGTGAAAAGCCTGACTCCGCTTTCCTGTGGACCCCTCAGTGATGGGTGCAAATAGGTGCCTTCAAGGAGGGTTTATGTAAGATGAGGAAGACTTTGTCCCTGGAGACTTAAGTCAGGTAAAGGAGGGGCAACAGGAATATTATTCCAATAAGCTAGAGACCATATTTAGAACAAAGCAGCAAGAAAGATAACACATCTAAAAAAATAATGAAAAATTCGCAGAGGGCTTACATGAAATGAGTCTTAAATTTAGCTTTTCCACTTAAGAGCAGCCCTGAGGCCAAATCACAAAAATTGCCAGATACTAGTATGGACGCAAATAAGTAGGGAAACCCTGCAATTGCCCCACAATCTCCAAAAACAAAAATGCTAACTCTGAGTTCCTTCTGGGTTTAATAAAAACAAGGCATCCAGGGGCGAATAGAATAGTACTTACGTCGGCATACAGTGTGAAATAGTCCTCAATTCCATCCTGGCCAGTGATGACCCCGTGGCGCCGGTTAATCCCTGCTATCACTGTTCCCTGAAACTGAGTTGGGGCTATCACTTCCACGGACATAACAGGCTCAAGAATATATAATGTTCCATTTCCCAGGGCTGGGTGCAAAGAAACATACAGGCAGAGTACTGGATTAGTCTCCCTGTAACAAGTTGGAACTCTTTCCTATGCAGATAGCGCTAAGAAAGGCAGATGGCGGGCGGTGCGCTCTCAAAAGTACAAACAAGCTCAATGAGAGCTACAATGCATCCGGACTCACTTTTCTAGTACAGTAACAGTCACCCTGCAAAACGGAAATTCTAATCAAGCAATGCTTGACGCTAATTTGTATCCTTAAAGCTCATTAAGTACAGAGAATACTAAGAGAGGTCTGAAACAACATCTGATCAAGTTCTTAACCATCTCAATTACAGAGCTGAGAGATACGTATTCTCCCTCTGAAAATCTCCAACGGTCAGGAAACTGCTAAGTCTTGGACCAAGGAAAACCCATGCTTTCTTTGTAGTCCTTGACAGACACTATTAATGGCAAGAAAGTACTTTTATCAGGGAGAGGAAGATGATGGAGGGCACCCTTCAAATAAGGCTTCAACAATCAAGCCAAGCCTGACATCTTTCTTCCCTTTCCTTTTGTAAGTTAGCCATGTCTAATTGAGAATCAGAAGACCAAGTTTCTAGTTTCTGCCCTGCCTCTACGGCTCAAGTTCCCCCAGCTTCAAGTCCTCCTCACTTTCAGCAACCACAGTGTGTCATCTGCATATTGCAAGCATTAATAAGTGTTCTTCTAATCTTGATGTCACATTCTTCTTCATATAATCCAGCTTCTTGGGTTAAGCTGCTCAGCATACAAATTGAACCAGTACGCTGAAAAGATACAACCCTGATACACACTTTTCTTGATTTTAAATCATGCAGTATTCCCTGGTCTTTCCAAATGATTGCTTCTGGATCCATGTACAGGTTCCACAAGAGCTCAGTGAAGTGTGCTGGAATTCCCATTTTTCCCAAAGTTGTCCAGAGTGTGTTGGCATAGATGAATGTGATGGTTAAGTTTTTGTGCTAATATGGCTGGGCCATGACTCTGGTTTGACAATAATAATGTAGTTTGGCAGTTATGAATGCTGTAGTCACTCTCTTGTAAGAGCTGATACATGTGTAATGTCATCATCTCTATGATGAGAACTGTTATGAGCAGCCAATCAATTGAAAGGGGCTCTCTTCGGTGGAATAGATCATGTTCAATATATGTAGACTTTAAGGCAAAGCTCCTTAACTTCTTGCTATCTTTGGCTCTTGTATCTGGCTCTCATTACCTAATCTTCAGTACTTGAGACTTAAGCCACATGCCTGCTGTATTCATTTTGCTTCTCTAGAGAACCCATCCTAAGAGCACTTCCCAGTATTGCAGCTACTTGCTGAAACTTCTCAGTCGGTATTCCATCCATTTCTAGAAGCTTTTGCTTTGCCAATGCAGGTGTTGTTCCTATGGCACCATCGATTTTACCTCCTGAAATGGTTAAATGTCAACCAATTCTTTTTGGTACAGTGATTCTGTATTCTTTTCATCCTCTTTTGATGTTTCTTGAATTACTCCATTTTTGCCCAAAAAATCCTTCCATATTACAACTGAGGGCTTGATTTTTTTTCCCTTCAGATCTTTCAGAAAAAGAGACATGCTGAGCATATTCTTCCCTTTCGGTTTCCAGAAATTTTTAGAAAAAAATGTTTGCAAGGATTGAGTTGTTGATCATTGTAAATTTCATACTACTTGACTGTCTTCTTGAACTTCTCTCTGGAATCTTCTGTTCAGCTCTTTCACTACATCATTTCTTCCTGTCAATTTTGCAGCCCTATAAAAGTGTCAAGAGCAGAGGTTCTTAACCTGTGGATCGCGACTCCTTTGGGGGTCACCCGATTCATAACAGTAGCAAAATGACAGTGATGAAGTAGCAATGAAAATAATGTTATGGTTGGGGGGTCCCCACATGAGGAACTGTATGAAAGGGTAGCGGCATTAGGAAGGTTGAGAACCACTGGTTCAAGAGTCTCTTCTGGCATCATTTTGGTATTTGTTCCCCTGTCCTCTGAATGACCTTTTTGTTTTCTTCATGTATGATATCTTTAATGCCAATCTGCTAATTCATCTGGACTCTGGTCACTGGTGGTCACTGCTTGAAATCTGGTCTTGAGATCTGTTCTCTAAAGCAAGTGAATATACTCCGGGTTCACGCTGGCTCTCAAGGGCTTGTTTTCATTTTCCTCAGCTTCAACTTGAACTCGCACAAGAGCCTGCAGGGCCGTTCCACAGCTGGACCCTGGCTTCGTTCTGACTGATGATCTTGAACTTCCCCCACTCTTTCCACAGATAATTTACTCCCATGCTTTACATCCTGCGAGGTCAACATGGACATACAGATGCTCTTCATATTGTTAAAAGGAATTTGCAGTGATTAAGTTATTGGCCTTGAACCGTGTTATCATGTGATCTCTAGCTTCACATCTATCACCAACGCTGTGCTTTCTACCTACTGATCTTTTCTCTGGTTCCAACTTTTGCACTCTTACCATCAGTAATTAGTGGTTTTTGCAGAAATTTGAAAACTAGTACAACCAGTTGGACTTCCTTGAAGACATGAACAGTCAGTACCCTATCACCGTACTTCAGTACACATCTGAAATGTGACAGCGTTCCTCTGTCATTCCAATCACAGTAAGCCATATGACTGCCCAGTTCAAAATGGCCAATACCAATCCATTTCAGCTCACTAATATTTAAATTTAGAAACAGTTAAAAACAATGAGGCTCTTCATTAATTGACAACCATGTCAATTATCTGGTTTTATGTAACTCCACAGAAGCTACCAATTTCTAGTCAATAAAAGAGCCAGCTAAAAACAACTGGTGGTTTTTAATTAATTGGTTTGAACTGGACCTGGGGATGCAGAGTGGTTATAACTAAGTTCTCACTTTAAGATACACTTAAGTGGTCAACACTTAGGGGGACAGAGGCAAGCGTTTAATTCTGAGTCAGGGCAGAAGTTTCCTCATGATGTCATCTCTCTGTCTCCTATTAACATAATCTTCAGATCGTGACAGGATTTTTATAGCACATATTTCAACTGCATATTTAATAGACAACTAGTATAAGAAAATGAAGTAATTCATTTCTCAGTCACAACTGAAAAATTAAAACACTAGTTACTATTTGGCTCCTATTAGTTTCATAAAGATAATAAAACAATGAATCAGCAACCTGGTCAAGGAAAAGGATTTCACTCTCCTCTTCCAAAGCTTTGCTCAACACCCAATTTCAGATGCAAAATGAAACCAAAAAGTAATATGAAGTCCAAAATGCATATGGAATCAATGAAGTCATGATTTATAGATCACTTAAGAAATAAGACATGTAAAAAATTATTTTTTCTACTTTCCACTTTAACCTTCTTTGGTGAAAACTGTCTTACTTCTGAGTGATAATCTAATTGTCCGGGGACAAAGACATTTCGGGCCTTCAGTAAAACGAATACCATAGAACAGACACGGAAGAGGTAAGAAAGAACGAGCTGCTTGCCTCAAGGCACAGCTTCGAGGTTCCTCGGCTGACTAACCCTGACGTTGAGCTCCTGAGTTGTCGCTCACCTTCCGCTCTCAAAAGCAGAGCATCATCAGGAGGCCCGAGGCTCATGGTTTGGGTTCGCCAGTGTTTTACTACACATAGTATCCTGTGCGGAGGGGCTGACGATTTTAGCAACTTAGCTACGTGATTACGTACATTCTTTCAAAATACTTCTGCCTCCTCGAAATGTCTAAAGCCTACACAAGTACATGAAAAATTCTAACAAATGAATGGATTTCCTGGCATTTGAATAAGCCACTAAAAACAGCAGTGTCGTTAATGTTGTCTTTGCTCCCTGGAGCAGTGCCTCATGCTCTGGGTGGACAAGACAAACGCACCGGGCTGCCGTCCGTCCGCCGCTCTGCCAGGTCACTGGGGGAAATCGCCACAGTGAGGCCGTGGGAGCAGCACACAGCATACCTTGTTTGAGTGCACCTTCTCCCGCTCGGATGAAAGAGATCTCATTGGAATCAACCATGTGGTGCGCTCCATCTTGCAGGACAAACCGGAGCCCGGAGAGTTTGTGACCAGAGAGAGGGCCCTTCTCACAGGCATCCAAAAACCCCTGTTAATGAGAACAACTTCTGGAGTGAGTAGCTTGAACTTGCAGGTGCTTTACCAAAACTCAACAAACATTAGCACTCAGCAATTTTTCATTTTGATATACATTTCACCCTTCAAAAAGGAAGTTTACAAGTGTAGCAACTCTACTATTTAAACTTTATTATGATGGTGTCTGGCGGAGCAAGTCCTTGAAAAAATATAACAATCACTTCCTTCTAACTCCACCTTCAGGATTACATTCTCTCAGAATGCATTATAGAGACAGCACGATTGTAATTGTACAAAGAGGAACAGAGAAAAGGTAAAACTAATTCCCCAAATTCCCTAAAACAAACACTTCCAAATTGGCAGTCATTCAACAGATGTGTCCTGCATCACTCAAAGTAGAAGTTCAGAACATTACCTTCCATTCCATTGACTGAGAACTTTATAGGTCTGTATAAAAGCCTGCATGTATGGAAAGAACGCACTTCGATGTTTGCTATTCTTGTTCATTCTGTTACTAATGATACCGGCAGAGGTCTGTCAGGTGCAGTGAGTTTTTCTGGGAAACATAAGTACACAGCTGCGTACATAATTCAACGTATTTCTGACACTTCGAAACTGTAAGTGATATATGCTGAAAAATATCCAAGCATCCCTTCACCTACACTTATCCTGGAGATTTACAGAGTGTGAAAGATAAAACATTGTCTTGAAAAATAATATAATGATGTACCATGATTATAAACAAAGCTACCACCTCTGAAACCAAAATTATAACCTAAAATGGACTTTTAAGTTAAAAGGTTTAAAAAATACCCTAAATCTATAAGAATAAGCACTTGCCTCCACGCAAGTGAGCACCAAACAAAACCCATGAACCCCTTACACATGCAAAACACCTGAGCAATTCACAACCAGCACCACAGTCGTACTGGACCCTCAGCTTTGTGATGGGTGCAGAGTGAAAACCATTTCACTGTCAGTTCACAGAAGAAGACACGGGTTTGCACACTGATGAACCGAAGCGCAAAGACCGCAGCAGAGCCCAGCTGTTGGGGCCATCACAAGCAAGCATTCCACTACAACAGCACACGAACTTCGATAAATCGATGACTACTATGAATTGTAATTGCTAACTACAATAGATGACGTAGCCTCAATTTATCAAGAGACAGACACTAAGTATGATTAAGAAACAGGGTGCTTTCCCATTACTGCCCCTGCATATACTTATAGTTCTTGAGCTTAGTGAACGGAAGCTTCTAAAGCAGACAGAAGAGCGTTGACAACAGACGCAGACGCAGGAGCACAACTACAGTACGCGTGGGAGACAGCGTGGCAGGAGATGCAAGCGGGGAGTTGACCCCTGTGTTTCAGAGACAGAATTGCAGGGAAGCTTGTTGTGTGGTTTACCTTTTCTACAGCAGGCACAAACTGCTTTGGAATATTTGCCCCGAAGGTTTCATCGGCAAACTCCAGCTTCGTGTAGTTCTCTGGCTCCAGAGGCTCGAGGACGCCGATTACCTTCCCAAACTGGCCCGCACCACCTGACTGCTTCTTATGCGTAAACTCAAACCTGAAAGTGATTTGGGGGACAGGGGTTAAAACCAACGGAGCATTAAGGAACTTTCAAAACGAAATCACACATATTAACCATGTTCATTTTTCCCCTCTGGGTAGGACTACTTTGCCACAAAATTTTATTGTAGAATTTATCTCAAAAATAATTCACCTTTTTTTTTTTTGAGTGAGGGTAGGGAATGCCACTATTCTGGACTTCATAAGTAAAAAAGCAAAAGAAGCAAGTAATTAAATCAGAAATGGGGACAAAGGTTTCTGTTACAGTGTCTGCATGGTGCCAAGGGTTAAGCAATGGGCTGCTAACTGCGAGGTCAGCCGTTCAAACCCACCAGCTACTCCTTAGATGAGGCATTCTGTAGCGTCCCTATGAAGCAGAACTGGTTCGAAAGCAGCGAATGAGACTTGTTCTACTAACCTTAAGTTACAAAGAACGTAACCTTTCCCTGGAATGCCTCCCCACTTCCCTGGCACGTAGCATTTGCTCCTTAAATTGTTGGAATCAGAGCAGTTCACTGAAAAGAGGCACTGTAAGGAGAGAGTTGCTCTTTCATTTTACTACCTGGGCACTGTAAGCTGGCTTAATCCAACAGGGTTTTAGGGGCGATAATTCACTTGAGAAAATGAGTATTAAATTGACAGGGACTAACTTGTTAGCCCGTCACATACAACTCCCTTGTTTCCCAGTCATTTCTGACCCATAGTAACTCTACAGGCCAGAGTCCTGCCTACAGGTATCCTGGCTGTAATCTCTCTGGGGGCAGACAGCCCCAGCTTTCTCCTGCTGGCAGGAAGTGGGTTCCAACTGCCAAACGTTTCAATTGGCAGCCAAGTGCTTTCACTACCGGCAACGAGGGATCTAGTCCTTCCGTGGACAAGTCATGAATGAAACACAAGTCAGTGTTTCCTTTAAACCACTAGTGGTAACATTAATAGGAAACAATAAGCTTTTTTTACAAACAAATTTTACATATCTTCACAGACACTACTCTTTCCATGAGAAACATTACATCAACACCTATTGCATGCAATGGATTCCTTCCTTTCAGTTGAATCCACCCTCGACACAGTAAGATGTTGCCACACCTTACAACTGCTGTCACATGACTTTCAGGTAGCTGCACGACAATGGTCATGAATGGGTGGCTCAGGTGCACAGAGGTGAGTGGTTTGGACTATCAATACTGGTAGGAGATGCTGTCTACAAAGAGAGGAATTCATAGAGACCCTCCGTGTGAATGTGCTAGATTACAATTCCCACCCACACTGTTTGTTCCTTAGAGCACAACAGAACTGCACCTTAGGGTTTCCAAAACGGCAAATCTTCAAAAGAACAGTCTCACCTCTTTCTCAAGGAGCGGCTGGTGGGTTTGAACCGGAGACCTACAATTAGCAGCCCGTTGCACCTCCAGTGCTCCTTAACCTGCCTATTAATTGCCTTTAGATAATATGCCAGTGATAAAGAGCTTCAGGTGGGCCAGGAAACAAAAAAAATGCTGAAAGACTCGTTTTCCTGAGAGAAAATCAGTTCCATGAACTGCCAGGAACGCAGAAGAGAACCAACTGCCAAATCCCCACTGAATCACGGAAGAAATTCCCAAACTGTGGCCCACTGGCATTTCCTCAGGGCTACACACGTTCTCTGTAAGATATTTAAGAATTTCTTTTAGATTTGACAATAGCATTTCTGCAAATTCTAGGTCTGTGTGAGCCACATGGCAATCACTAACCATAGTTATTTTCACCGAAATTATTTAAAATGAAATGAAAACGGGCAGCTCCTGGGTCAACGCAGTATGGGTACGTGGAGTGTGGCTGCCGCAGTGGACAGCGGAGAGCAGTATGGGCACGTGGAGTGTGGCTGCTGCAGTGGACAGCGGAGAGCAGTATGGGCACGTGGAGTGTGGCTGCCGCAGTGGACAGCGGAGCGCGAGCTCCCAGCCGGCAGAGCTCTCCCCGGGGACAGCAGTGCTCTGGGGTTGTCTCAGGCACCCTTCACCTGAACACATGATTGTCAAAACTCCTGCCAGCCTAGTAAGGGCACCGTTTTAACATACATAGAGAGAGAGCAATGTAATACTCATATATATAAAAGAGCCTCATGTCACCAATCATGTTATCGATCTTGATCTACACATGGTAAACACATTCATAAAATTTCAAAGCTGGTGGTTTCAGCTCGGAAGCTTACATATTGTATTCCATACTCACGGCTCTAAATAGCAATCACACAAGTCAGTGCTAATAATCTGTGAAGCCTAAGATTTCGTCATCAGCGAAGGGCTCTGTGTCATCTGCACTCACGCTGCCCTCTTCCCTAGACACCATCTTCCCTAGACACCATCCCCGGAGACTTCATTCCAACAATCCAGCGCCACACAATCCAGCCTCAAAGACTGGCTGACGAATGCATGACTCATGCCCCCACCCTCAAAAGGTAGACAGAGGAAACCACCTTTCCTTTCTTAGGAAAAGCTTTAACAGGAGACACTAATCCCGCCATTTAGAAACAAATTCCGCCCCTAATTACTTAATGCTGCTAGCTAATATAACTAGAAAGGAAGTGTCTTGAATTTTTAAAAAATATACTTACTTCAATGAAAGACTAAATAAATTCAAAAAGGTATATGAGAAAGGTAACACATTATAAGCATATTTTTGGTAACTTTTCCTTAACGCTGTACCCAATATATATAGGTAGGTCTACCAAAGAACCTTCAAAAATCCATTTTGAATTAAAAAAGAGCAAAGAAATGGCTATTCCCAAGCCAACCAGCCAAGCACAAGCCTGGTCTGACTCAAAGGAAGCTTAGCTTCTGGATCTAGGCCAAAGCCAAAGAATAGTCCGAGTGACAGTTCCTTTACAGTGACATAAGAAGGGAATTAAGAACACTGAAGTGAGAAAACGTAGTGCCTAGTAAAAGTCGGCCCCTGCTTTTAAGCAGCTTTTGTTCAATGCTTTTTCGGTGTAATCCTTTGTGGGAGGTTCACTTTTTAAGTATGCTTTAATACTTAGGCAAAACCTTCAGTGATTCAATTGGAAATAGTGGTGTTAAATCCAGTCCTCCTCTTCTAAAATCAGAATGGGGGGGGCACATTTCTTCTCTTGATTTGAATTATATAATCCCCCACATTGATGATAGCGTCTGCCCCTACCCCCACCCCCCCCAGGCTCTCCAGCGGAAAGCGAGCCTGTGTGTTCCTGGGCTCTTCTCCCAAGGAGATTCCAGAGGGAGAGGATAGAATCACTACCTGGGGCACCTTTGCACCCTGCACCTGGCAGGACAATGCGGGCGGGGTGCTCCTGTGTGCCAGCAAACAACCAGGCTCGCGTCCCTGGGGAGGAGGCCGGCTGTAGGATACGCCTACAGCGTCAGAGACCCTAAAAGCCGTCCTCGCAAAGCTTTAAAGGTTACGGATAAGGTCCCGGAACGGGAGCTGCTGCCCGCCGGGTCTCCGCCAAGGGGAGAACCGGGCCGTGGAGAGGCAGCGGCCGCGGGGCGGGGCCCTGCGCCAAGACGCGCGAGCCCAGCAGCAAGCAGCTTCCTGAAGCCGAGGGAGGGAAGGAGGAAGGAGGGAGGAAGGAGGGGGGGAAGGAGGAAACTCCCGATCCGTCCACGCCCAGCCTGAGGCTGGCGTGCAGACTTCCCGACTCGGCCACCGGGCAGCAGGCAGGACGAGTGCCGCCGGGTCCGGTCCTTTAAGCCTGCGCAGTGGCTGCTCAGTTGAGCAGTCATGGAAATCCCACCGACCCACTTCCCAGCCTCCAGGGCGGCCTCTGTGGCGGAGAACTGCATCAACTACCAGCAAGGGACTCCTCACAAGGTGTTTCTGGTGCAGACAGTCAAACAGGCCAGCATGGAGGTGAGTCCCACGCAGGGGCGGTGGACACGGGCTAGCGGGGGAGGTGGGGGAGGACGGGGTGGCTCCCTCCACGGGCCAAAGGTCTCATTTGGCGCCGCGCCTCCGCCCCGCACCCCCTTCCCTCTTGGGCCTCGGTTCTGAGACAGGCCGATGACTTCTGGTCTAGGCGGCCAAGATTGTCACATCCCACTCTCAGGTGACGGGGCTGTTTCCAGAGTAAAGCAAAGAAACCAGCAGTTTTTCTGAGCAAGCAGGGGGGGGGGGCTGCTCCTCTGTTTGCCTCTACCAAGATTGCAGCCCCGTCGCACGCAAGGGCAGCTCGGCTCTGTCCTGCAGGGGGGCAATGAGTCGTTAAAACCGAGATGGCAGCAGGTGGGACTGGTTTGGGTTGGACTGGTTTTGGTATCAGAAAATGGGAAATGCTCCGAAAGAAAGGTGGCAGCTAACGTTTTCTCCAAGTGCAATCAGTAGCAACCGTTCAAAAGAATCTTAAACACTGCTACGACGCTTCTCATCCAGTTACTCCAGTCTCCAATGCCAAATATTGACGACCAATCCTTATTAGATCCTTTGACCCAAATCCGAGGGGGGGGATCAACAGCAAGAGCCAGGCACAACCAAAATGAGAATAAGCACACTGCCTGCCTTAAATGATGGTTCCTGTGCTTCAAGGGTTAAAGGTTTAATGCCCCAGCCACCCCCAAAGAAGGTGGTTGTTCCCCCCCATACACTAAAAGCCAGTGCATTTTGAGTTCCTCCCTTATTTATCTTACATAATTGTAACTGAACAGGCTGTGAGAGGCTGTAACTGAACAAGGAAAGGGTGTTATTCTGAAATGGCACCAGATAACATACTGGCATAAAGTGTCTTAAAATTTACAAAACTATAGAGGCACCACTTTGTAGGCTAATTTACTAGTCAAATACCTACTATTCGTTAAGTCTCCACTTTGCAGCTAATCTGACTCAAAATGGAATTTGCCTTCATTCAACAGTATTTGAAGGGCACACTGGGCTGGCTTTATACCAGAAATCTTTTCAAAGGTATGTCCTATTTTTCATTGCCATCAGAATTAAAAATTGCCTCAGTATTTTATGTATGGAATTTCGGACCACATATCCAGCTATTAGGAGGGCCCGATGGCTGAATGTGAGTTGTGCCTGCCCACTTTTTTTGTATGCTTTCTCCCCACCTTCTGTTCTCTCCAAAATAAACCAGAGGGGCCCTGGTAAGTTAGGCAGCACCCACATGGTCAAAGGCTTCAATTTTTTACCCACACCAGCCCAGCTCCCCAACCAAAGGAGAATGGATTCCTCTAACAACACAAAGAACGGAGTCAATTGTTACAGAATTTTCTTATCTCTACCACATTCTCTTAATTAATTTTAGGATATTCCAGGAGGAGGGCATAAGTATCGCCTTAAATTTTCTGTGGAAGAAATTATCCAGAAAGTAAGTGAAACATTCCTTATTGTTAAACAAAAACCGAGTCTAGATATTCCAGACTGTTTTAGTGGATTATATCATACGATCAGCGTTGCCTTTTATTTTTCTCCTAAATTAACACGAATGCCTTATCCCTAATAAAATACTGTCCCCCACGAGCAAAGCAGGCAAAGGTCCGTTTTCTTTGTGTTTTCCAAAATCCAGGAAGTATTTGTAATGTGCTATATAGAAAACAGACTCTATTTGCTTCAGTTCAGTTAAAATTTCCTCTAAAAAGAAATACTGCCTGGGAACTCTCTCTGTCTCTTCCAACCCAACCTCTCTCCGATGGTCAGCCCTTGAAAGGGCGGAGGACCCAGTGAGCAAGGAGGAAAACACGGGCTGCCCTGTGCTTACTCAGCTCAGTAGTTGGAGTGAACTGTTTCACAGGCGTTTCACCACATCAAAGACGTGGTGATTAGTTTGGTGATCAGTTTCTGCAGTGGAAATATTCTTTACATTAACTCCAACCACAAGAACAGTGAGCAGGAGCCCCGCTTTCTAAAATGAACAATGTGTCCAGTCAGATGCGACAGCCATCTTCCTGATATGGATGCTGGATCCTGTTCTGCGGTTACAGGCCACTTTACCCCATTTCTTTTCAGCCTCCTCGGCCCCCACATTAGTTCTCCTCAACTGTGGCCAAATTTTCTCCATCCATCAGCAACAAGCAGGCCGTTCCTGAAAGGGGCTCAGGCGTCCAGGCTGCAGGGCTTGGTGTTGCCGAATTGAAAGGAGGAGGCTGACAGGAACCCCCTCTTCAATAAATCTCTCTCTCCATGCTGCCTGATGCCATCACCATGCGGTCCCTCTCCTGCAGCCTACGAAGCCCCCAAAGAATATGCTTTGATAGAATGAGAGCAGCTGGGCTGAACACGGAGAGGGCTTAGACTCAAGGATGCCAAGCCTGGTCTCTCTTCTCTCCCTCAACTTTCTTCTCCTGCGCCTTCCTCATTCCTTAGACAAGCTGCCACTGCCTCCTGTTGGGGACTAAATTGTGTTCCACGACCAAAATGTTGGAATCTTAACTCCTATCCATAGAGATATAATCAAATCAAATGTCATGCCACTGCCGTCCACAGAGAGTATTAGGAGAATGTAACCAATCAGTGTAGTGTGGATTCGCAGCCTGACGGCTCGTGGGCCGTGTCAAGAGCTGCACAGACAGAGAACCAAACACATACTGGGGAAGACAGATGCCACGTGAGAACTGCCACGGAATCAAGGAGTCCCCAGGGCTACCAACAAGGAAGCCAGCCGGACCCACCATGATTTGGACTTTCAGCCTCCCAAAACTATCAGAAGCAAATGTCTGTCCTTTAAAGCAAAAATGAGTAAATACTATATATAATATTATGATCTGAGCTTATGCCATATGAACAAGTTACTCCTAACTCATGATCACTTGTATAAGCCTTTCCCATTGTTTTTAATTGCATATTGAGTGAAAACGTGCTTTCAGGTATTCAGGAGTGACAGAATGGCCACGTGGCACCACCTTCAGATCCGGGACATTCAGCTGTAGGGCTGGAAACACTTCTAAATTATGCACCTGTCAAGTTATTAATGAGACACGTCTGAGGAGGAAAAGAACTGCAACTTGTACCACAACCACCTTGAATTTTTTTTTAAAAGCCGTGTCCTTCTGTGGAGCACAATCCAGGCTAACATAAGGAATTCATTAAAAGGATATTAAGCCAGCCATCTTTACAAAGTTTGTAACTCACTGCTCTGGTCTCCTACAGTTCTATCTAGATTTCTGTCTCTGGGTTTGAGACTAGTTCTGTACTTTTGGGAGCAGAGAGTAGGAGTCATGGAAGCTTAAAAAGCAACCAGCACCTGGAGTCAGTGTATAAACAGAGAAAAATCTTGTCTGGCCAATGGATACCACCTTAATATGGAAATACGTTCAGAGTTCTAAGATGAACTTACAAGGTTATGAGGCTTTGTAAGTTTTTCTTTTTTTTAAGGATACCTCAGTGATCTCCCAGGAAATATAGTGGGGTCAGTTCCACTTAGACACTTCTGGGAAAAGAGGCCTGGTGGGGGTGGGCTGCTATCCACAAGATCGACAATTCAAAACTACCAGGCACTCTCCGGGAGAAAGACGAGGCTTTCTACTCCAGTAAATAGTCTCGGCGCTCACAGAGGCAGTTCCACCCTGTCCTTAGGGTCATTACGAGTCAGCACAGACTCAATGGCAGTGAGAGAGAGTGTGTGTGTGCATGTGTATAAAAAGATTGGTCTGAAGCAACAATGTCAAGAGCCAAAGCTTTAAATTGTGTATCTCAAGAAAAAATAGTCTAAATGTAAGGGTCTTTTGTAAAAATGTTCTCAACAGCAAATAACAGTGAACTGCACGGCCGAAGTCCTCTACCCTCCTGCGGGGCAGGACACCGCACCAGAAGTCAGCTTCACGTTTGAAGGAGAAATCGGCACGAACCCAGATAAAGAAGATACTACATTTTATCAGAGACTCAAGTCCACGGCAGAACCACTAGAAGCGCAAAATATTCCAGGTATCAAATAGAACACGAGGGGAAGGGCGTGTTTCCAATGTTAAACTCTCAATTATCTATGCTCAAAACTGTTGGACAGTAACCACTACTTACTTAACTGGCTATTGCAAAAACATTCATTAGCAATCAAGTCCAACTATAGTAAAAGAGAGGCTTTGAAACATTATAGAAAAAAAAAAAAAGAAACGTGATAGATCCATTTTTTTTCCTGCACACAGAAGTGATATGACTTAGAATTCAACTTTTAATTCTTTTTTTAGAATTTAGATATAGTTAAATCTGAGTATATGAAATAATCACATTTAATTATCTATCGTTTAATACTTCCCCAACCAGACAGTTTTGGGAATGTGCCTCCCGAAATGAAACCAGTTCGGCATTTAGCCTGGGTCGCCTGTGGTTATATAATATGGCAGAATTCTACTGAAAACACATGGTACAAAATGGTCAAAATTCAAACCGTCAAGCAAGTGGTAAGTAATTTCTGTAAGACACTACTAACACAGCGAATATTTATTGGGAGTATTGAAACTGATGTGTATGGAAAACACGGAACCTGTTATTTTAAAGGAGAGGTCAGTTAGAATCAGGGCAGGAGAAGGTAAACCGTGTGGGAAGAATCCAAAGCAGCGGCAGCTGCTCCAGACAGTCACTGGGTTTGGCTGAGAAGCAACGAAAGGCTTCATTTGCTTCCACGTCCTTTACAAACAAAGGGCTGGGCTACTCTGCATTCCCTGGGCTCACGCTAGCCTGGCAGCAGCACAGTAGCAAGGCAAAGCCAAGGATTTCAACAGAACACTTTTGACTGCGAAGGACCCTGCACTTTCTAATGGCACAATAGTTGGTGTGAGGCAAGCTAGATTTGATTGTGATGTTTTACTCAAACCCTCTTCTGGAGGAAAAAGGTCTAGAGGTTCACTAGGAGCCTGGGAAGGACAAAATCTTAGGTACGTTTACAGAGCAATACTGACTCGACTCTACTGCATATTAGAATGTCCCAGAGTGACAAAGAGACCGGCAAACCGCCCCCACAGCCCATCGCCCTCCCCCATGAGCCTGAACAAAAACAGTATCTCAATCTTTGGGACACTTGCTATAATGCCTCTCAAATAGTTCGCCACTCATCCTTTCGCTTGTACACAATTTTCTTTCCCATTCAGTCATCATTTGCAATCTTACATACACTTGTCCTAGCTTTAAAATTTTTCTTAAATCTGATGACTGCTTAGAAATGCTTTTTTTAAAACCTTCAAAGCTCACAACTATCAAGCCAATTTCAACTGCCCCAGTGAATTTCTAAGAGTGCAAATCTTACAGAAATGGAACGCTTCATCTTTCTCTCGAGGAACAGCTGGTGGTTTTGAACTGCTGACCTTGAAGTTAGCAGCCCAACTCATAACCCACCAAGGCTCCTAGAGTAAACTCTTTGAGAATACCTACTGATTTGTGCTTTGTTAAGAGATAAAAAAGAAAGGAACATTCCAACCAGTACCTAGTGGCGTGCAGAGAAACCACACCTTCAGGCAGCTCCTTACAGCAGGACTTCCCAGCTGACTTGTTCCAGCTTGTAGGCAACAAACCACAAGGCGGCTGAAGCACCTTTTCTCCAGAGGCTTCTGCAGTCATTGTTACCTATTACAGCTGGAGGGCAGGCCATCCATTGACAATGCTCCTGAAGCCAAACTCCTACCATGTACAGCACAACCGAAACAGCCCTTGATCTAGTGTTACTCAGTGACTTCACTCACTACAGCCTGCAAGTCCTGAGACCCCAACTAAGTGAGTACCTGGGTCTAGGTTACAGGGGCCTTAAAACCAGAATCATGATGTAGAACTTGTATTTCCAGCAAAATATGCACAAGATAATGCTGGTAGTGTTATGAAAAACTCCTGTAACCTTTTGCCAACCTGTAGTTTCAGGGCACTCATGAAAATCTCAAAGTCTTCCACTGTCAACATGAAAGATGAAGCATCACTGCTTCAGGCCATATGAGGAGCTTCAAAAAATTACAGCCCATCTTTATAATTACTTTTCTTTTATATATTATTAAGATCCAACATGTAAAGAAACGACTGATGTTTTTCTATCATCTTAAAAGGACATTCTTTGTTGGTATAGTCAAAGGGAAAAAGCTACTTCTTGCTTATAAGAAAAGCACCCTTTAAAGCAATACTTTCTCTGATGTTGAGGCCACGTTTGTAGTCACTGCTGACCAGCCCTGGTGATGCAGTGGTTACGCTTGAGCTGCTAAGCACAAGGTGGGCAGATCAAAACCGTCAGCTGCTGCACAGGAGAACGATAAGAATTCCTACTGTAAAAAGCGACAATCCTGGAAACCCACAAAGGCTAGCCTAGGGTCGCTGTCATTCAGAATCCACCTGATGACAGTGACAAGAAAAACCAGAAATGTTAACCAATCAAGGCTGAGGCGCTGGTACTGCCCCTAAGAGCCCAGGGATTGTTTCTCACATCAAATAATAGAAACCTTTAGAAGCCCTGGGTCAGCCTAGCAAATCACTGGTTTAAACTAGGCAAAGACAGCATTTCCAGGTGGCTGATGATAGAAAATAGTTCTTTTCCAAAGCAAGCAGCAGTACAGATCAAAGCTTTACTTTAATTGCGGTATCAGATAACTACGTGTGCCTCCTCGAACTACAATCAGTCCGTCCCTAGTCATGAAAGTCTGACTGGTTCTTGCCCTCCCTTGGAAATGACCAGACCAGCACCTGCTCACTGCAAATGTTTTCATCACAATCACCTTCGCTGACCGCACATGTGCTTCTCAATCATTGGAAAGACTTGAACCCTGTCCTTACACTCAAGTCTGGCTAAGAACAACAGGACACACCTCTTCTGACTTAACCTTCTGAAAAACCCTTGACAGATAGGAGTGGATCTCATTCGTTACCTGGGGATTGCCTGTATTCTCAGTTTTCTAGAGAGAATTCCATTAAAAATGTGTTGTCTTTTATGTAAACACTTGTTCAGCAGTTTATCCCTCATATGCAGCTTTTCCGAACAATGGAGACATGATGGGTTCTTTAAGAAACAACACTGTCAGGTTAAGAAGCTGCTACCCTACAACTTCCAAAATAAAAGGGGGTGGGGGTTGCGGCAGGGAGATAAAGTCTTTAAAGCAATCATTTAAATGGTCGTTTAAAATTCTCTCTAGGAAACTGTAGGAGGATAATTTATCTCTCAGGCTAACTAAAAATAGACGACATTTTTTACCTAAAGGGAAGTGTTAAAATCATTTCTTAAGGAAAACTGATCTTAAAAATTAAAGTGCTATTTTTGCTAATGATATTAAGTTTAAACACCAGGTTTTTATTTTTATCATAGCAAAGAAATGATGACTTTATTGAATTAGACTACACCATTCTGCTTCATGACATTGCATCTCAGGTAAAGTATCACTTACCTTAATGTGATGGCTCTCTGAACACACGTTTCATAGCTGCAGGGTGGTTTCTTCATTGGGATTTTACATCTAAATGCATGTGCATTCAGAGAGGCACAAGGCTGAAGCATTTATACTTCTGTACCAATTTCACTTGTTTTGTACTACTCTTGATGAGGACTGCTCAGTGCTTGCCTCTAGCAAAATATAAACCCAACTGTGGATCTGTAGCTACTTTCTGGGTTTCATCCTGACATGCGTTTCCTTTACTTGCAGGAGATCATTCCCTGGCAGATGCAAGTTCTCTGGCACCCCCAATATGGCACTAAAGTAAAGCATAACAGCCGGCTGCCAAAGGAAGCACACGTAGAGTAAGCCAGGGCCCACGCACTGCGATGAAGTAGTGAAAACAGGCCTGCGGTGATGTGCACGCTAGTTTTCATTTGTGTCCAGTGTAAGGAGCCAACTCCATTCAACCCAAAAGTGTCTCTCTTGTTATAAATGTCTTGATTATAGTACAGAATTATATCAATTGCATAATGAAAGGTGTCACTGTCTAAAGACATCTTAATTACAGCATAGTCCTATGTATATTCCATAATAAAAAGCTTCAATTCCAGCCTCATAATTATAAATAATTCCACTGCATACTTACGGGACAGGGCCAGCAATGGTCTCTCGAAAGGCAACTTTAGGCTTTCCTGTGACACAGGGGCAGCCGTATTCTCTTTCCATCCTCTAAGACAAGAAGGGAAGGAGGAGTGGAGGAAGGGAAGTCAATGTTGCTAATAAAGATGCATAATGGATAAAATCCTAATTTTTATACCCTTCTATATTCTAAGGCAAAATAAGCTAATTCTTACATATGCTGAACGGACGTTTACCAACTTAACCAATCCTTTCTTCATGAACAATATAAATTAACACTACATTTAAACTTAAACATTTAAAAATTCAAAGTATCTTAAATACCTTAGGTACAGCTAATACATTTAGCTGTAATAAGCAAGCTACAAATCATGTAAGTATCTTCTATGGATTAGATACATAATTAAACAATGCAGACTAAATTTACAGATTTGTCTATAATTTCTCATTTAAATGGATTCATTAACACTTAACTGCATTCATCTGTTCACTAAAACTTGACCGTTGTTCATTATTATAGATTTACTGGAATAATAAGTGATTTTATTGCCAGAGCTTTTCTATCTCGACTCAAAGATACTTTAAAATCGTAAGTCATATAGCTTGTTTCTGTTTGTATTCATATTCATACACAAACTTGCCAGAAAGACATAGGCCTGGCCCACTCTGGGTGTAAGGATTTTCGGGGATTGTCTTGGGAGAGTCCGACCAGCGAGAAACGGGGACGGAGTGGGGGCTGGTGGCAGCCTTCCTCAGGTTTCTCCCCCGAAGGCTGGGGCGCCATGGTCCCCAGCCTGGGCTGAGTGGGTGGTCCTCGTTCAAATCCCAAGCCTTGACTCTAGAAGTCCTCAGTGTTTTAAAAATATAAAAAGGTTTAAAATTCAAAGATTACTTGTAACAAATGGCACAGAAGGCCCTATACCACATACAAGCCCAGGGGACAGTGAGTAAGACGGAGAACTGGTGGGTTTTGCTCTGACTAAAGCACGGGCGGCAATGACTGGATTCCGTCTGCCTTCCTCAGAGTCTTACCTGAGCATAGATCTCCAAGTGTAGTTCCCCCATCCCGGAGACGATGGTCTCTTTGCTTTCGGTGTCAAAGTGGACTCTGAATGTTGGGTCTTCTCTTATAAATCTGCCAATACCTTTTGAGAATTTTTCTAGATCACTCTTTAAAAAAACACATTATATTAAGCAATTAAAATTTTTAAAGCGCTTTACTGAATTAAACTCAAATACAGCAGCAGTTAAACAATAAATAAAGAACCAGCACAGAGGGCCTGGGTGAGTGCACCCTTTTGCTGGCTCCACCAATGTGGACCCCACGCTGCCCAGAGAACAGCCAGTATCCACTAGGGTCAATTCTCCCCACACCAAGACAGACCACAAGAGCGCCCTGTCCTACGACACCGACAAAACCTGCCCGCCTGTGGTTGAAGGAAAGTGAAAACTGAGTTAACATTTTAGAAATGCTATCCAGGCAACCAGAGGAATGAAGACTCAAGCACAGGCGTTCGACCCGCAGTCAGGGAAATGTGACACTGAGACATGCCCCTTTGTAAAACAATCTAGTTGGATGTGGGATGACGTATCCTGAGTCTACATCAAGACGTGTCTAAATGTGGGAGACGGAAGAAGGGCCCTCCACAGCGGATTCTGCTGGGTGTCGAGTGTTGTCCCTTGCCACCACCACCCCACACACACACTGCCCCCCCACCGAAAAGTATGCTAAAGTTCTAACCTTGGGATCTATGAAGGTGACCTTGTTTAGAAATACTGTCTTTGCAGATATAATTGGTTAACTTGAAGTCATACTGGAAACAGAGTAAGCCCTGGTCCCATATGGCTGATGTCTATAAGAAGACAGGGAGCGAGAGCAGAGCCGTTTGACGGCAGACACGGAGAAGAGTGATGCCACACATCGCAACAGCAGAAGCCGGGAGACTAACAGGATGCTGTCCTACGGCTTCCAAAGCAACTGCCACCCTGCCCACACAGAAAGTGGACCGCTCCTCTCCAGACGGAGAGAGAAACTTCTGTTGTTAAGCCAGAGATCGTGGTAATTTGTTAAATCCTCAGGAAACTAATGCCAGACCGGTTTAAAGCATGAACAATGCCATGACACGAAAACCCCTTTTGAATATCAATACATTCGATTCTCTGTTACTATGAACTGCCAAGAGTTTATCTTATAGCTCAAACATAAGAACCCCAAAGACTCACTGCCATTGAGTTGATGCCAACTCACAGCAAGCCTTACAGCACAGGGTAGAACAGTTCCAGCGGGTTGCCGACGGTGTACTCTATGGAAGCAGAGAGCCCTGTCACTCTCCTGCGGTGCAGGCTGGTGGTCTTGAACTGCTGGCCTTACGATGGATTGTAACCGAACGCATAACCACGATGCCTTCACGGCTCCGAGTCTATGACATACACTCTACTTATCTGGGAATGAAGATATAGAATACTTTTCCACTGGAGATCCCCTTGCAGAGGGGTCTCGGGGAGGAGATGAGCCAGTCAGGGTGCGATGTAACAATGATGAGAAATACAACCTTCCTCTAGTTCCTAAAGGTTTCCTCCCCACTCCCACTACCATGACTCGAATTCTATCTTGCAAGACTGGCTAGACCAGAGGAGGTACACTGGTACAGATAGGAACTGAAAATACAGGGAATCCAGGATGGATGAGCCCTATAGGACCAGTGGTGTGAGTGGCAAAACAGGGAGGGTAAAGGGAGAATGGGTAGGAAAGAGGGAACCGATTACATGGAACTGTGTGTGACCTCCTCCCTGGGGGACAGACAACCGAAAAGTGGATGAAGGGAGAAGTCGGACAGGGCAAGATATGACAAAATACCCATTTATAAACTATCAAGGGCTTATGTGGGAGGGGGGAGCGGGGAGGGAGGGGAAAAATGAGGACCTAATGTCGGGGGTTTAAATGGAGAGAAAATGTTTTGAGAAATGATGTACAAATACGCTTTACACAATTGATGTGTGTATGGATTGGGATAACAGTTGTATGAGCCCCTAATAAAATGTTTAAAAAATAAAAAAAAATAAAAAAGAATACTTTTAACTTCTAATCTCACATACTCTGGGAGGGAAAAGTAAACAACTTATGACAGCACTTGCAACAACAGATGTCAGATTCACTTTTCCTTACAGTTTAGAAGACACAGTCTTTTAATATTTTTTTTGCTACCTCAACATTTCTACCCAAAGAAAGCAAAAGAAAAAATTTTGTAAACACAACAAAAAGGTCTGGAAACTCCCAGCACTATCGCTGAAGACAAAGCGGGTGCATAAGCAAATGTGGTGAAGAAAGCTGATGGTGCCCGGCTATCAAAAGAATACAGTGTCTGGGGTCTTAAAGGCTTGAAGTTAAACAAGCAGCCATCTAGCAAAGAAGCAACAAGCCAGCATGGAAGAAGCACACCATCCTGTGCGATCATGAAGTGTCATCAGGACCAGGTATTAGGCATCAGAAGACCCCAAACACATCTGTAGACAATGGGACATCCCCTCACAGAAGGGTCACAAGGAAGGGATGAGTCACTGATGAAACACACAATATTCCTCTGGTTCCTTGAGGCTTCTTCAACTCCCACTATCATGACCCTCCAGCCCTGCCTTTTATTTCAGGCTAAACGGGAGCATGTACACAGGTACAGACAGGAGCTCAGGACACATGGAAATAAACCCCGCGGGAACAGAAATGGGAGTAACGATACCAGGAGGGTAGGGGGCGGAAGTGAGAAGAGGGGAGGAAGGGGGCACAGATCGTAATTATTACCCCCCCCACACACACAAACACACCCCTCCAGGGGGAGGAACATCAGAAACCATGGTGGGAGACAGCGGTCAGTGTAAGATACGAAAATAATAATTTATAATTTATCAAGGGGTCACAAGGGTGGGAGGGGGAGAGAGGGGAAAAAAGAGGTGCTGATACCCAGGGCTCAAATAGAAAGTAAATGTTTAGAAAATAATTATGACAACTTATGTACAAATATGCTTGATACAATTTATATATGGATTGTTATAAGAGCTCCCAATAAAATGATCTTTACAAAAATAGGTCTGGAAAAAAAATCTCAAGATCCCTCAAAACTGATGAAGTAGTAACTGTCAATGAACTGAACTGATGAGCTGTTAGTAAGAAGCCCTGGTGGCATAAAGGGTTAGCAGTTAGCAATATATATTATTATATATATAATAGTCATTTTATTAGGGGCTCATACAACTCTTATCACAATCCATACATCCATACATTGTGTGTCAAGCACATTTGTACATTTGTTGCCATCATCATTCTCAAAACATTTGCTTTCTACTTGAGCCCTTGGTATCAGCTCTTCATTTTAAAAAAATTAATTTTATTAGGGGCTCATACAACTCTTATAACAACCCACACATACATCAATTGTGTAAAGCACATTTGTACATTCATTGCCCTCATCATTCTCCAAACGTGCTCTCCACCTAGGCCCCTGCATCAGGTCCTCATTTAACCTCCCTCCCCCATGAACCCTTGATAATTTATAAATTATTATCTTGTCATATCTTGCCCTGTCTGACGTCTCCCTTCACCCACTTTTCTGTTGTCTGTCCCCCAGGGAGGAGGTCTCCTGTAGATCCTTGTAATGGTTCCCCCTTTCCAACCCACCTTCCCTCTACCCTCCTAGTATCGCCACTCACACCACTGGTCCTGAAGGGATCAGAAAATAATTATATTTTAAAGTGAGAAAAAAACACCCTTGATTATGGGCTGTGCATTTTCAACCAAACATTTATTTCATAATTATCACAAACTCTATAGATGTATCGACACCCACGACAGAGATTTAGTATCATGTAGGACACTGTCTATAGTTTAAGACAGTGTCTTTTCTTCCCTACTTCTTGATAATTTGAATCCACGAGTTACAAAAACCACTTTGATATTATAAAGAGGTAAAAAGCAGAGTCTGGCAAATAGTTTAATGCCATTAATTCCTTCAAATACTTTGAGGCATCAGTACTAGACCACGTAAATTCCACAAGGTGATCTCACTATCAACGGAGGAAACAGGTGCCATTAGGTTGCTAATCTTCATGAGAAACCATGTCCCTGAGGAGACTAAAGAGAACCCAAGTGTTCGCTGTGTTGAACCAAGCTATACATCAAACTCCTACCTTGTTGGAAGGCTTCATTGCTATTGAAATGACAGGATCGGGAACATGAATAGACTCCTAAAATATTTTTTAAAAGAAAAGAGAAGAATTCAAATGCAAAACTCTGTAGGTCAAGGGCAGAGTAATTTCATAAGTTACTTAAAGTCAAACAAGGACAAACACAAGCCAAGATTTAAGCAGGTCAATATGCATCATGCTCGTTTTTTATTAAATACATAGGTGCCCACTTACATGATCTCATTATATATATATGTTACATAATCTGTTGTCAATTTGAGAATTGTAAAGGGGCAGAGTCTAGCCTGTTGATCAGGTTGCAGCTTGATGACCTCATTTGTAGGCACTAAGGAGATAAACAGCTCACTGGAGGTGAGACACTGGCTCACTCCCTACAACACAAGCTTGCTGACAAGACACATGAAGCTACACTAGGGCCCTGGAGCGGAAGGAGCTACTTGGGGACCCCTGCCAGTGCTGAGATGCCTCTACTGCCACTGGATCCACCAGACTATCCACCCACTGGCCTGTGATCTTCCTGCTTTTGGCAACATTGCATGTGTTTCCTCAGTCTGAAGAGGAATTTATAGATTGGTATCAGACATATGGACTAATGTTGAACCTATGGACTTGATCTGGACTGGGCTGGGATGTTTTCTCAATATTTCAATTGCTCTTGTATATAAAGCTTTCTTATACATACGAGTGTCTATGAATTTGTTTCTCCAGTCTACCCAGATTAACACAATATATCTATATATCATACATATACCACATATGATATATATATATATATATATAAATATAATTTATCTATTCATTTACTTAAAAGTTTACCAATATTGTCCGTTTATAATCACTAAAATGAATCCAACTGCTGAATATAGAATTCTTCTAGGCTAATGGTTATATTTGCTGCTGTAATAATCTGCTTTATTTACTCAAAATATACTATGCTCACTGGTAAAAGCAACAGAGAAGGAGTTAGATTCTTCTACACATCACACCTCATTGAATCATCACAACTCAGAGAGGCAGGTACTATCCCTGTTTTAAGAAGGTGCAGTCACTTGGCCAGTGGCCAGCCGTTGGTACAGGGCAGAGGTGAATCCAACGCAGATAATGACAAGGCTTCAATAAGTTTATGAAAGAAGTCTACTATCTTTTCACTGCATTTTCCCAGGACCTTTGGAAGTGCCCTCTTTACTTGAGCACTTCCCATCACCTCAGTTCGCTCACTACCAACACCTGATTTAGAAAAGCCTATCAAGAATACTCATAGAAACATTTTCCTTGCCATAACTCCAAACATACACTACACAACTTTCTTTATGGACCTTTAAAATACTGTCTTCAATCAGCATGGACAATAACATATATTGAGGATTTTATATGAAAAAATTAACTTAGCTTCATCAGGGGCTACGGAATGATTACTGAACTCATCTGTGAGAGTTGGACCAGCTGCATGTAAAAGCCCCATGACAGACCCTCAAGTGCCAATGACCTCTCTCCTAACTTTCCATTTTCTGGTCACACTCAGAATTTATGTCCTTGTAGAAGAGAATCCCAAAGGGGAAGAGGGTAAAGGGCTTCAAAGGCAGGCTTTTCCCCTGGGGATCGGGTCAATGATGAAAAGGGGTCTCCGATTTCCAGATGGGAAGGAAAGGCTTGGCCCTCTTCTGAAAGGTCACAGCTACGGAATGCCCAGTGGAGCACATGGAGCACTCTGAGACATGGGGGTGGGCAGGAGTCAGAACCCACTAGAGGGCAGCCAGCTGCTGTTGGTCACTGTTGTTGGAGCGGGCAAGACGTTTGTTTTGTTTCCCAAGGGCAGTGTATGCTGTCACTCAGACATCCTCGTGTCCTCGTGACCCTTTGCCGTCTGAGCATGATTAGGTACCAGTATCCCAAGTCTAGACTAAATGCTGCATTGCTCCAGAGTTGAGGGGAGGGTGCACTCTGGGACTGCCGGTTAACAAGGCAGTAGCACACTCCTCTGGGCGAAACCTGAAGATTCAGGCTGCGAGGAGGCCTGACAGTGGGAGGCTGAGCTTGGGATGACGGAGTTAGAGGTGCATGGCCCCATGTGTCATGTGAAGATTCTCCCTCCACACTAAACCTTGGAGGACTATGGGATGATCTCACTACAAAACCAGGTACATTAGCTTTCACAAAGCATGTAACTAAATGACATTCAAAAAGCCACAGCTGGTCTGTATTTGATGTCCGTGGCATTCAACAACTCCTGCAGTTGCTTCTCTAAAGTACTGAACACACTCCATAAAAAACAAACTTCTGAAATTCAAACGATGAACAGCTTGACATTTGACAGACTTACCATGGAAAGGCCACTATTATCTTTGTTTGTGAATGTGTCTCCACTTGCACAATCAATGCCAAACAATGCACAGATATCTCCGGCATACACTTCCTCAACATCCTAGGAAAGAAAGACCGCCAACAAGAAACAAGCACAGGACACAAATCAAGACAGGAAAACTAAATAGTCATCACACAGTTAACATCTTTCACACAAACACGGCAAGATCTTGCACCGTGAATTCTACAAAGAATGAATTTGATAACATCAGCACAGCGCCAGCAATCAACCTGCCAACACACATCTCACACAGCACCCACTGCAGGGCAGATTTGACTATGTCTGAGAAATTCACGGAATCCGCGGTGCTACTCAACAGTCTGGTGGTTCTGAAGCTGTTGCTATGGAAAGCATGTGCTATTTGTGGTACAGCAGTCAAGAGACTGAAATGTCGGACAGGGGCCTCCAAGGAAAAATGCAAAGGAAGCTTTGAAAACAAAAGCAGAAAAGAGTCCCCTGTACTTAAAATAATCTTAATTCTCACAGATGCAGTTAAGGAAAGCCAAGATGTTGTCCTGGTACAGTGACTAAAAAACCACAACAACCTCTACCCCAGCAGTTGACTCACGGCAGCTGTGGCTAGACTATGGGAAGGTGCATGTGTGCATGTGTGTGTGTGCATGTGAGCACGTGTGTATAATGGCTGCACAGCTGTACACCTTGAGCTTCTGGTCCAAGAAACCACTACGGCAACTCCTGATCCCTCAACCCTGTCCCCTGCTGCCCATCTCACAGAAGAGCAACACGGTCCAATTTTGAAAATGTTGCCCATATCTACCAGTAGGAAAAGTCATGGCCCCCAGAGGGGCATGAATGTCCTAAGATTTCTCACAGACTGATACATTTCCCCAGGGTACAGACCCAGGCTAGAAGAGCGTCAGAGTAGGGCACCGTCACCCTCACTCAGGATCCTCCCCAAGGCCGAATCCAAAGGCCTTCAGAAGGTTAGAGCAGATTGAGGGCCAAATAAAAATGTAAAGCCATAAGCCAGGGTTTAAAATCTGATGGATTCTGGACCTCAGGGGGTTCTGCAATAGGAATAAAAGCTTTACGCTCACACGTAGAATTCAGGCCTGCCATCTTTCAAAGTCATGGAACAAGCAGATGCACTGAATAATAAGGACAATGAAGTGTGAATGTGTAACTCGCACATACCTTCAGTAAGTGCAATTCCACTACCTAAAAACCTACTATGCGCCACAGTTCCTGAGCAAGGTGTGCATCTTGCGCTCTGAGCCGGAAGGAATGTCCTTCTCCTCCAGCTGGGTGCTTGAGGACATCCACCTGCCTCACAACATGAGGCTGCCATAGGCTCCAAACAGCTGCTCAGTTAGCTCGCAGGAAAATGTACCTGAGCACCGCCTCAGCATAAAAAGGAAGAAGCCAGGAGAACACAAGCTGAACTACAAGAGGGGCCAGCAAGAAGGTCGGACGGTCCCACACGCAGTGGGCAAGTTTTCACCGGCACAGCAGGACCCCGGCCGGCAGGACTTACCTCCATCATGTCGGCATGCATGCGAACCAGCCGCTGCACCCGCACTTTCTTTCTCGTCCTGGTGTTATAGATGTTGTCACCCTTCTTCAACTCCCCCTGGTAACTACGAACGTACGTCAGCTGCCCAAATCGACCTGCCTACAAGAAACAAAGAAACAGAGGAGGCAAAATTAGGAGGAAAACTGCACAACTATTTCCAAGCATCCCTCGAAGTTGTGGAAGCTCACCATATATGTGAGTTTCTCACAAACAACTCTTAGTAATATGCCAAAAAATGTAAGTTAGATACAATTATTAGAAGGATAACAAAAATATCATTTGAAGAATGTTAGTAAGACTACACACCTAAAATAACTTGGTAACTGTGTGGAACGATACTTACTTAAGAGTTCTAATAAGTGACCGGATCTGAAATGAGTAACCAAAGACCACGTCTTCTTAAATACCAACACTAGCAAATTACATGTGGGATTTTAAAGATGCCACATCCTCTCATATAATTTTACAGCAATCACAATCCCAACAAAATTTTCAACACTTTATAGTAATTTTGAAATTCATGTAGGAGAATAAAACAGAAAGAATAGAAATTACATTTATGTTTATTGCAGCAATTCCATAATGGCAAAAACAGGGAAACAATAAAAAACCCCAATTATAGAGGCACGCATAAACAAGCTCTGGTATACTCCTACAATGGAACAGTATGTGTCAATAAAAGACTATGACAACTCTCTTACGCACTGCAAGGCATGGACAAAACTAGAAAACATGCTTAACAAACTTAATCTACCTTACAAAGGTACATATTTAATAATACCATTAATTACAAGGAAATATGATAGATAACTCCAGGTCTGTCTGCTGACCCTGATGAGTGTTTTCTAGTCGGGTCAGATGAGGTGGCCCAAGCTCTTCTAAGTCATCTTGTCTTTTGGTGGATAGATGACGTCTCTTTTTCTTTGTTTTTCCTTATTATAACTCTTATGTGAGACCAGGCACATGCGTTGCGGGGCCTTGGGCGGAGGGGGGGGGGAGGCACACTGGTTTAACAGATGCATAAGCAACAAGGACGGGGCAGCAGTCTCAGCTTGAGGAGATCGTGCTTCCTTCTCCGCGCGCTTGGTGACGATTGGGTTTCCGGGGTCAAGAGGCACTCACTCACTGAAGAAAGTGCTGCTGACTACAGGCCCTGGGAACCTGCATCTTCTTGGCAAGATGCTGATAGAACTGGTGACACTGACTCTTTTGCTTAATATCTGCTTTATCGCTTATGAGATTTAAAAATGTGCCTCTTTCCTCTGGGAGCTCAGTGGATGCCCTCCCACTCAAGACTATCTCCACCAATGGCCTACAAAGAGGGAGTGAAGGGTGGGTGTCTAAACCTTCGTTCACTCCTGTCTACATGCCCGCCTAGGGACTGCAGTGAATAAAACTGAGCACGAAGGACCCTGGAAAAGAAATACATTTGTAGAAAACTGAAAATGTTCTTTCATGAGGTGATGATAAATACCCAATGCTGACAAAAACTCATTGAACTAATCTGTTCATTCTGAGACTATGACAGCAATCTGGCAATATAAGACATATCTTTAACTAAATAATCACTCTTCTGGGGAGTTGTCCTATGAAACTATCATTAAATGCATAATTTTTAGTTTTATGCATAAATAATTTCACTGTAGTTCCTACCAATTTTTAATAAAAAAATCCTTCTTTAAAGGAAAAAGATGAAAAATGTAATCCCACTTCAGAAAATAACAACTCTTGACACCTCCAATTTCCCCACCATTTTTCACACTTAAAATACCATGAAAAAGACAACACCTCAGTTATTAACAAACACACTTAGCACCCGAATCTTGGCTTCTAATGCCAGTCTCCAGTAAAAGAAACCATGAAAAACCCATTGCCAATGCACACCTTCCCAAAACGATTGCTGAAGAAAAATGTGAACATAAGCAAAGGTGGTGAAGAAAGCTGATGTACCAAAGGATGTATATTGGCTACCATAAGATATAGCGTCCGGGGTCTTAAAGGTTTGAAGACATACAAGCGGCCATCTAGCTGAGAAGCATCAAAGCCCGTATGGAAGAAGCACACCAGCCTGTCTGACTACGAAGTGTAGAAGGGATCAGTTATCAGACATCAAAGAACTTAAAATCATATCAGTGGGTGCCCGCTCTGCTGACACAATCAATGAAGACAAACGTGTGCATAAGCAAATGTGGTGAAGAGAGCTAACAGTGCCCGGCTATCAAAAGATATAGCGTCTGGGGTCTTGGTCTTAAAGGCTTGAAAATAAACAAGCGGCCATCCAGCTGAGAAGCATCAAAGCCCACATGGAAGTAGCACACCAGCCTGTCTGACCACAAGGTGCAGAAGGGATCAGTTATCAGACATCAAAGAACTAAAAATCAGATCAGTGGGTGCCCACCTTCCTGATACAATCACTGAAGACAAAGGTGTGCATAAGCAAAGGTGGTGAAGAAAGCTGATGGTGCCTGGTTATCAAAAGATATAGCATCTGGGGTCTTAAAGGCTTGAAGATAAACAAGCCGTCAACTAGCTCAGAAGCAACAAAGCCCACATGGAAGAAGCACATCAGAATGCGTGACCATGAGCTGTCGAAGGGATCGGGTGTCAGGCATCAAGGAACAAGAAATCATGTCATTGTAAAGTTGGGTGAGTGCAGAGTGGAGACTCAGAGTCCATCGGTAGGCAACTGAACACCCCCCTGCTGAGGGGTTGGGGAGGAGACGAGCTAATCAGGGTGCAGGGTAGCAATGATGAAACATATAACTTTCCTCTAGTTCTTAAATGCTTCCTCCCCCCCAATATCACAATCCCAATTCTGCCTTGCAAATCTGGCTAGACCAGAGGATGTACATTGGTAGAGATAGCAACTTGAAACACAGGGAATCCAGGATAGGTGACTCCTTCAGGACCAGTGGTGAGACGGGCGAGGCCTGGAGGGTGAAGGGAATGTGGGGTAGAAGGGGGGAACCAATTACAAGAATCTAAGTATAGCCTCCTCCCTGGGGGATGGACAGCAGAGAAGCGGAGGGAGACATCGGACAGTGTAACTTATAACAAAACTCTAACAATTTATGAATTATGAAGGGTTCATGGGGGGGTGGGAAATGAGCAAATGATATTAAGGGCTAAAGTAGAGGGCAAATGTGTTGAGATTGATGAGGGCAACAAATGTACATATGGACTTGACTCAATGGATGTATGTATGGACTGTGATAAGAATTGTACGAGCCCTCAATAAAATAATTTAAAAAAACATTGCCACTGAGTCGATCCCAATTCACAGCAACCCTATTGAACAGAGAAGAGCTGCTGCTTAGGGTTCCCAAAGCTGTGAGCTTTGCCACAGCAGACTGCTACATCCGCTCCCGTGGAGCAGCTGGTGAGCTCAAATGGTGAGCTAACTGACCTTTCAGTTGTGCCCGAACACCAAATCTCTGTACCACAAGTACTGTTAGAAGAAACCATAGCCCCAAAGCACCTGCTACCATCAGGTCATTCTGATTCAAAGAGACCCCGAGGTTTCTGAGACTGTCGATCTTTGCTGAAGCCGCATCTTTCTCCTGATGAGCAGCTGGTGTAGCCTTGGACCACCAGCCTTGAGGTGAGCAGCCCAATGCCAAATGCAAGGACAAGGGTCCTTAAAGAAATGGCTGATCCAAGGATGAGGGGGAGTAAGAAAAATGAGCCCGAGTGCCAGAAGGAGAACAAGTGGCCCCAAAAGAAAAGCCATGGGCATGCGTCAAAGGGACGCCGCGACCAATGGAAAGAGCACCTAATGCCCAGCCAGCCCCCTTGAGCAACAGGAACTTCATCCTGGATTAAAACCCCAAGTATAGAATAAGTATCTCCAAGTCCACACTGAAACACAATTCATAAACACAGCAGCACTCCACAGAACTCCCACCCCCTAAGTGTGGGTGGCACATAGGGACTTTGTTCCAAAGAGAACAGTGTGACAAAAGAGAAAAAGAGTAACTTCCCAGTGGGGAAACCTCGGAAACCTGTCCTCAGCCAGATATTCAAGCTCAACATCAACAGAATTAAGTCAATGTTAATAGTCTGTACCCTTGATACTCAGTGGTGAAAATGGTTCTTTGCCTCTGTGGTCTCACTACTTAGAAAGCATAAACCGAGTGTCATCCCGAGAATGAATACCTGGGTGGTGCTAAAGGTTAATGTACTCCGCAGCTAACCAAAAGGTTGGAAGTTTGAGTCTACACAGAGGCACCTTGGAAGAAAGGCCTGGTGACCGACTTCCAAAAAGTCAGCCAATGAGCAACCTAGGAAGCACGGTTCCGCTCTGACACACGCTGGGTTACTGCTAGTCAGCAGAGACTTGGCAGGAACTCGGACTAATGACCAGGAGAAAAACATCAGACACAGGAACAGTGAGGGGTAAGAGATCACAAAACGCCTGGGACGTGCCCCTCCAGACTGTCCAGGCCATCAAAACCCAGGAAGCATGAGGAACTGTCACAGCCCAGAGGAGCTACGGAGGCATGAGCCTAAATAGAACGTGAGACCCGGAATGGGAGCCTGAGACAGAAACAAAGTCAACAGACACTAGGAAAATTCAAATCGTCAATGAACAATGATCAACACTGGTTCATCGGCATATGTTAACAACTAAGGAAACGAGTGCCAGGTGTACAGGAATCCTCTGTACTATTTTTACAACTTTTCGCTAAATCTAAAAGAAAACAATCACAAATATATTTCCACATCAAAAAGTCATCTCAGCAAAGAGTCCCAAATAGCCAAAATAATCCTGCAAAAGGACAAAGTAGGAAAGCTCACATTTCCTGATTTCAAACATACTACAGAGTTACAATGAACAAAACAGTACACACGAGTGAAGGGGCAAACATATAAACTAATGAAAGAGTATTGAGAGTCCAGAAATAAACTACATGTACAGTCAAATGATTTTCAACAAGCGCCTCATCAATGTACTGTGAAGGGACAACTTAATTTCCATAGCTGAATTCCTATCTCACTCTGTCAATGAAAATTAAATCAAAACAAACCAATGACATAAGCATACAAGCTAAAACCTTAAAACTCACAGAAAACATATGGGGTAGAACTTCAGAGAATTGTATTTGGCAATGGATTCTTAGCTATGGCATTAAAATCACAAGCACAAAAAATAATAATCAGACCATCAAAATAAAATCTTCTATGCATAAAAGAATTTTTACCAAGAAATAGAAAAGATAATCTATCATATGGAAAAAAATACCTAGAAACCGACACAAGAGGGCTTCTAAAATTTTGTGGAAAAGATAATGAAATTTGACCACGAACTTTTGGAAGCCTCTTCATGTATTTGTGATGAAAAAATGGTTGCCACCTGGTCAATCCCAATTCATAGTGGTCACTTAGGACAAAGGACAAGTGCCTCATAGGATTGCTCGGGTTGTCACTCGCCACAGCTTTCCCGTGCTGGCTACCAGTGGTTCCTAACAGACGACCTTCAGTTGGCAGTCCCATGCTAAACCACTGTGGCACCGCCGCGCATGCACATACAAGGGCTTAAAACCCAGGGCATACAGAGAACGTCTTCAACTTACAAAAATACAAACCGCTCATCAGAGTAGGGGCAAGTACATAATTCCAGTGTCCAATAATTAGGAAATTTTTAGGTAAATAGGGAGATAACTACTTGATGGAATACCCTGATGCCAATCACACCAGTTAGTATTTATGAAAACACGGAAAGTAGCTCCTGTGGTGTTCAATGAAGACAGCAGGGCAGGATGACCTCCATCAGAGTCGTTCTTGAGAACTGCACAGAGAAGGGGCCGGGAGGACAGGCATCTGCTAAGAAAGCACTGCCACCTGAGAGCTGCACCTAGGAATCTTCTACCTTCTTTCCACTTTTTCCTAATTTCACATCGTTTCTTAGGGAGGGGTCTTCTGTGATAGAGTACATGTTCAAACGATAGCAGCTAGACATATTCGAAAGCACCTACCTCCAGTTTGAAAGCCAGGCCAACAAAGGGGTGAGAGTTGTCTCTTTTGGAGCTCATCAAGACCTTGGTTTTCTCCTTTGATTCACTTTAAAAAGAATGATAAACTTATTACATGCAGCATTTTATATTGCTTTTATACCAATTCATTTCACCAAAAAGCAATTTCTAAGAAATGTATTTCATTTAAGAGTAATAGCTGAGAAATCCTGCCAAATATTTGTGACCTCATGCCAGGGAAACCTCAGTGAGAGAGAAGTCGGAGGAAGTTCTCAGGGCGCTGCTACCAGAGTGACAGGTAGATGGACAGCCACAGAAATGATCTGGTAGCGAAAGAGAGCTAGCTACAAGTTTGCTTGTTCGTCTGTGTGCATGCATGCATGCATGTATATTTATTTATTACTTAGTTTATTTGTTTCAAGTTTGTATTTTAAAGCTTAAAAGAAATACTACTAAAAGTAGTTGTTTCCAAATGAGAAAATTTTCTAGTGCTACCAATGTGAATAGATAAAAAAACCACACTTCTAAACTAAAAAATAGCAAGTTATAGCAACTAAGTTTGTGAGATAGATAAAAAGTGATTGATAATTACAATATTTGTTAAAGAAAACCGCAGACACAATAGAACCAGAAGCACAGCTTCTGAAGCTTATCTGGCCTACTGCCCCCTTTTTTTCCACA